CAGCTGCCTGTTCAGGGTGTCCTACCAGATCTGGGACGTCTCCAGCAAGAGGGTCATCCCCGTCGGGGGACAGTCTGCTGGCAGAGACCCGAAGCTTGTTCGTGATTCTTACCTCAAGCAGAGGAAGAGTCCAAAGCCAGGCAGCACCTTCGATTCCCTCTGCCTTTGAAGTCGGGGTGTTCTCTACTCAAGCTTTGAACTCAGCTGCGCCAAAGACAGGATGATTAAGTCTGAATCATCTAGTGGTGGATTCTTTTAATACCTCTGTCAAAATATAATTGCTTCACTTCAATTACCCAATGGCATGAATGAACACTACAGGCTCTACCTAGATGAGCAGACAATGCCACCTATGCAATAATTACCTCCCTGCCACACACACACACACACACACACACACACACACACACAGAGCTCATGTGAAATTGTTTCGGCTACTTTACCAGAATGATTAAGTCAAGACTTCCAATGTACTGAAAAAGGTATAAATTGTATTGAATTGGAAGAGGAAGAATTTTTCTTTCTGGAAGAATAAGCCGGTTTCCCCCGGTCAGGATGCCTGCAGGGCTTGGCTCTACTACCACAAAGAATACGCTTTGGACTTTTAGTGAATCGGATTCAGTCTGAGAGCATGAAGCTGGATCACCAGGCTGACCTACTCACCATCTTCGTCTTCCGGGGCACGACCACAGAAGGCATCTCTAAGTGTCCGCTTCTTGTCTGAAGGTTATTCATGGCTCCCTGCCTCAGCATTTCTTTGAAGCACGCTGGGTGGGTTCATCAACTAGGTATCGTGTAACTTGATATCTTTAGATTCTAAACTCCATCCCTACTCCCATCCCCCATGTTTTAGTCATTGCATTTTCCATGGCCAGGGATCTGGTTGCATGAAGCGTCTAATGACTTATTCACAGTTTTCTGGGTAAGATAGGGTGACCGGTGCTCCTGGTTTCCTCAGGATGCAGGATCTTCAGTACTAAAACCAGGACGGTCTCAGGAAACCCGAGAAGACTGGTCACCCTGCTAAGAAAACCAGGCAAGTTCACTGGGCATTGTCTGCTCTTGTGACAGCCCTATCAATTTTCTCATCCAGCTCGCCTCTAGTTATCTTTACCTACTTAGCCTGAGTTTCCTTAGGGGTGAAATGAAGATAAAAATTGTATCTACCCTAATATGTTCTGATGGGGGGAAAAAAGGTTGGTAACTGTTTTAGTCTGTTATAACAAAACACTATAGAATAGTCTAAGCTTAAGTTAAGCTAAGATTATATGCTAAGATCTCATAGGTTAAAAACAACAGAAATTTGTTGCTCACAGTTCTGGAGGCTGGGAAGTCCAAGATCAAGATGCCAGCATGGTCGTGTTTTGATGAGGACCCTCTCCCAGGTTCGTAGCTGGTGTCTTCTGGCTGTGTCCTCATGTGGTGGACAGAGCTGAGTCCTCAGGAACCTCTTTGATGAGGCACTAATCCCATTATGACATAAGGGCCTACTAATATCATCACCTTTGGGGGTTAGAATTTCAGTGTATAAATTTTGGGGGGTACACAGTCAGATAGTAACAACCTATGAGAATGTGCTCCTAAAACTGTAAAATGCTGTACAATCTTATTCATTAGTATGTGGCCATTATCCATGGTGGTAGGAGACACGGTAGCCTCTCTCCTCATAGAATCACTTATTGTCAGTCTTCACAGATTAATCTAGTTATGAAATCAAATATTTATTGGGTGCCTACCAAGGGCAAGCCCTTCTTTGACAAAAAAGACAGAATCCCTGTCCTCATGGAGTTTACGTTCTAGCAGATGGAGATAGAAACAACCAGACAAAAGGTATAGATGTGGCATGTGCTATGAAGGAAACAGATGTAGTTTGTGGGGTCCTTGTAATCAGTAGTGCAGTGTAAGTGAAGGAGGTGTGCTTATTTTGTTAGGATGGTCTGAAAGACTTCTCTGAAGAGGTAATATTTGAGCATTGGAAACCAGGCAGGCAAGTCACTGAAGTGAAGGGGAAGGTGGAGGGAACAGCAAAAGTGGGCCAGCGTATGTGGGAACAATGGTACTGAACATCTAAATGGTGATGTCAGCTGTTCTGGGAAGAGGTTGGAGGGAAATACGAATTTCCAAGTGATCATCCTACAAGGTGCAATTAAAGCCACAGAAGTGGATGGCACCTGGGGCAGCTTCCCCTGGTGCATGTGCTACCCTGGAGGCATACGGAATACTTTCAGGTGCTACGTGGGTAGCACTTGAAATTGTGTCGTGATTATCTTTAGTGTATTAGGAAAAAAATAGAACCAGACATCGGAGAGGATGAATGACATCACTCATCACGTGGAAATAAAAATCTCTGTCCTCTCCTCAGATGCTTCCCTGGGTGGCACCCATTTCCCCTCTCTATGGTCTTAGGTTTCCTCTTCTCTCACCTCCCCAGAGCAACTTCTTGGTTCTCCCCTCCCTCCTCCCCCAATTCACCCCATTCCCTTTCTGTGTCAGAAAGCTTTAGATCGAGTGTTCAGCCTCCTATTTGCATCGCATATTCATTAACCAGCTGCATAGGTTCCTCGAGACTTAGAAGGATGCTGAGAACTACAAAATAACGATTGTAAATATTTCCTGATGAATTTTTCTTTCTTTTTTTTCTCACAAAAGACCCGAAAGTCTAACCATGTTTTGGTAAAAATCTGAGTCACTGTTGTGTATGCTGGGACTTTTAGCAGAGGATTTGGGGGAGTTCTTGGGAAGGGTGGCCTGCACGAATGAGGAGAGGGAACGTGGAATGTGGGGGCTCTGTCCTGCAGTCCTGGAAGGCTCCTGCTTCACATGGACATGCTCTGCCCACCCCAGGCCCCTCCTCTGGGGCTCAGAGCCATCACCATCTGCAAAAGTGGAGGTCACATTTGCTGGGAAGAGTTCCTATGAGAATTAAACTAAGAGAGCTAGCACATGCTAAGTTTTTCATACGGCGTCAATAAATTACATACATTACTACTTGCATTTCCTCCATTTTCACTCTAAATTCATATTTTAAGATACTTTAAAGAACTTTTTTTATTTTTAATAAATGTACATTTAGTTTTCATGATATTTTATTTTTTATATTTACCTTCTATTGGGAAATTAATAGAAGTTTTCCCTTTATATAGCTTCCCCTTTCAAAAGAATTTATATGCAGTTTAAGAAGTGGGCTGATTTATAGGGAAAAAATTAACCAGCAGTACAGTTCGTGAGGGACATAAAATAAATAATTTTGGAAAAAGGTCTGAAATAAATGGAGTTTAGGAAACTAGTATTGAAGAAGAGAGCGTGACTAGTCTGTTTCATTTCATTTGAAAGGGGCTATAATTAACCAATATGACCCCAATAAGTTTAATAAAAATAAAATGAAAGAAAGGGGTTATAGAAATCAGCTCAGTAGCTTTCCTTTCTGTTCAAGGAATCACTTGGGGGCAAATTTGCCAAATTCGTCATTGAAAACAACAACGATGAAAGCCGGCAGCATTGAATCCAGTTTCATTATTTATTTTGGGTTTTCAGATTTAACTGAAAATTTGCTGGGAACTCCTGCTTATCCAGCCTCCTCATGATGGCAATCTAGAATGTAAGATTCATTATTTCACTTACTAATCACTGGCAGCATATTGGCCTCTGTAGGTCAAGGGGCACCTTTAATTAAAACTCCAAAAGACAAATCATAATTAACTAGGTAGAATAATTGTTCATTAAAGGAAGATATCAAGATACAGTGTTAAGGAGCTGAGCAACCCAGCTCTTGGTTTCTAGAATGTCTGGGCCAGTCCTGTAGAGAAAGAACTTATCTGAATATCAGACTTGTTTTGAACTTTGCAGACAACTTCTGTTACTCTTTATGGCAGATAAAAGTGGGAGGGGACAAGGATTAGGTGTCTATGGGGAATTAACCATATAGGGTAGTCTTAGGAAATGACACTTTGAGCTCTGATCCCTTAATGCCCACCTACCCCAACAGTTTGTGTTGACAAATCTGGTTAAGAGGAACATCTGCAGAGGGACATAAAAGGAAGAGAAAAATAAGAGGTAACATTTATTATTTGTTATGCTCTGGGCACCAGTTATATATGAACTTATGGAATCCCCACCAAGACTGTATAAGGTGCTAATATTGTCTCTATTTTATAGATAAGTAATCCAAGAGGTCAAGTAATTTGCCTAAACTTAGGCATCACAGATAGTAAGTCATAGAGGCAGCATTCAGGCCCCAGGTAGGGGGGTGTTCTGCTTCTGGAAGTCCATGATCTGAACCACTATGCTGCCTTTTTAGGAAGGTCACTAAAGGGCAACCCATAGTCCAGGGGATGTGGAAGGTCAGGAGAGAGAGAAGGATGCTGTTGCCAGGCAACACATCTGGTTTTTCAAGCTGCTAATTAAAGCTGTGTAATTGCTAGTTTGAAATTGCTAGTTTATTACTGATTAGAGGAAGTCGCCTGGAGTTTATATGGCTCTTGAAGGAGATAAGTGACCCTACAGTTCACTCTAGAAGGGCTGGGGAGACGTCTGGCAGAATCATCCTATCACTTGGCAGCATCTCCCGGTCTCTTCCAGTCCTGTCCAGGCTGCACTGTCCTGATGTCTGTGTGTTGATGTTTCTGGGTGGACACCAGTGACTGACTCAGACCATGGCTCCTGCCACCCACCAGCCACACTCTGGAATGACTTACGGCAGTGACTCCCTCCTGGTTTTGAAAAATAAGCACACCCACTTACCTGCTCACCTCCACCCTTTACCTGTTATCTAAAAGGGAGTTACATTTTATCACGGGCAGTTCAGAGTGAACTTAAAGTCATGCTAAATTTTAGATGCATACACATTTGACTTTTACGAGAAATGAAGGGTCAGTTGTAGAGCTGAGCAAACAAGCCAGCGTGCTACAACTCGGAAACGTCTGGGACCACTGATGTGAGCCCAGTTCAACGCATGAGAACGTCTCTGTTGAGAAACTGTTAAAGACATTTTGGGCCGCGTATTCTTTTTATTTTGAACAATAATTTCTATTAAGCTTTTTCTTTCAGTTACAGTTGAAGTCAACATTGGGCCACATAATTCTTTGATGTAGGGGCTAACCTGTGCTTCAGGATGTTTAGCAGCATCCCCAGCCTCTGCCCTGACATCAGCAGCACCGCTCTCTCCTGCCTGAGTTGTGACAAAAATGTCTCCGGACTGAGGCCAGTGTCCCTTGACAGGCCTCAGGTGAGAACCAAGGAAACGACGTCTACTAAAGTGTTCCATCTGGCCTTTGCAGTAGAAAATGGCATTCTTCTTGAGGATCAGATGCTAATATTCTTTATAATATTTTTCTTAACTACTCAGTAAATATGTGAATACACCCTCTTGGTAAAAAAGTCAAATAACACCCGTTTAAAGTCCCACTGTGAAAACCCTATGCACCCCCACCCCCGCCCCCGGACTTCACCCTGCCTCCTGCCTGCCTCCTCCTGGCTTGCTTTCAATGGACAGGATTTTAGCCATTTCAATAGCTCCTGGAGATTTTTTCCTGATTTGCATGGTTCTTTCAAATCACATTTTTAAAAGGCTCACTTCAATTTCTCATCAAGAACAACATCTACATAAGTTATTCGAATTTCTTCTGCATTGGAGGTTCGTCTGTTCTCTCTTTGTTCACTCATCTGTTTATGTCAGTTTGGACTTATAGATATTTATTTTACACTTTGGCTTATAATCAAAGTCTTCATAATAATTCTATAAATCTAAAACTTCAAAGTCTCTTTATAAGTGTTTAAAAAAGTCCCAAACAACCACAGTTAAGACCACATGGTATAGACCAAAGTGTGTTTTCGTGGTAGCACTGCCTGGAAATCTTTAGAACGCAAATTCTCAAGCCCTTCTCCAGACCTGATAAATGAGAAACTTTGGAGGTGGGACGCAGCAATCCGTGTCGCAAAAAGCTCTCCAGGTGATTCTGTGAGTAACATAAGAGAAATTGGTAAGTAGATGAAAGCTCACATTCAGGAAAATAAATTGGATTTGTATGAAAACACCCAAAGTAAGGCCAACCCAACTTTCTCTGGCAGAGACAGAATGAGGCTCTTACTTTCCCAAACAGATATATTAAGAACTCAGAGACAATCACAAATATATCATTTTAAATCTTGCTTAACCAGTCCTCACAAAGGATGTGGGGGATGAGGATTATGGAAGACAGATAAGACCTGACCTTTCCCATTGAGAAACTCATAATCTAGGACTGGAGAAAGCCTGGTGTAGAAATAATTGCACTGTAACGACAGGTAACATTGAGAAGTAAGTTCCCAGTGCTCTTGGAACCAAAAGGACACACACATTCTGCTAGGAAAAAGGGAAGAAAAGGTATTCCAGGTAGAAGGATCGACAGGTGCAAAAGCACAGAGGCATGCCAAGACCTACCTCCTTGCTCTGTCGGCTGAGAAGTCCAGGAAGCAACGACACCCCGAAAGCAATGAGCACATCTAACACCCAGATCCTGGTTTCTAGTACCATTCTCCAACGGAAGGAACTGAGGCTCCTTGGAAAAATGGCTGATTCCAGGGCTGGGGCAAGTTATATACAAAATGATCCTGCAGCATCTTATAGTGCCAGAAAGTAAGAACGTACTCAAAAAAACAGAACAAAACAAAGGAAAGAAAACCTACAATGTCAAATGGATACAGTGGCCAAGTGAAAGATCGCCCAATGGCCAAAGTTGGAACAATCTGAGCAACAGAATAAAGTAGTATTGAGTCATAAGACAAAATATTAAATAAATAGATTCAAAGTGATATAAACAAATGATTGAGTAAATAGAGAATAGGCAAACATTCTGTGCAGAAGAAATTCAAATAATTTATGTAGATGCTTCACCCCTGAGGTGGAACATAGCTCCCACTATTAAAGTTGGGGCTACACATAGTGACTTTCTTCCAATGACTACAGTACATAAAGGAGGAAAAAAGGAGCACATTGACCGTGGAGAAGCCAAGTGATCAGGGTTGACACCAGTGGAGAAGACGGGCTGATTGTATTGTTCATATGATGGGATGAGAATGGCACCGTTATGGGTTGTCCTCCCAAAATGTCTGACCGGTGATCCTCAAAACTGTCAGGCTCAGAAAACACAAGGAAGGTCTAAGAAGCTGTCACAAACAAGAGGAGCTCAAGGAGCCATGACAACTAAATGTAATGTGGTTTCCTAACAAGGACATTAGGTAAAAACTAAGGAACTCTGAATGAAGTATAAACTTTAGTTTATAAACTTTATAAACTTTAGTGTATACTTCATTGATAAAAATGTATCAATATTTGTTCATAAATTGTGACAAATGTACTATACTAATATGTTAATAGGAAAAACTGGGTGTGTGGTACATAAGCCTTTATAATAATTCTGTAAATCTAAAATTGCCCTAAAATAAAATGTTTACTTTAAAAAAGCCCACAGGGAGCCAATGAATGGGGAGTCCCACAGAAGAGTGACATCATCCCTTTGTAGTATTTTATAAAATACTACAAAAGAGCAATGTAAATTTCCAAATTCTTTGAAGGTTGCAGTGCCTGTTGCTTGCAGACATTAGGGGACATCCTGCGAAAGAAAAATCAATTCAAGGAGAGAGATGGTTGAGAGGAGAGGTATATAACATGCTTATGGACCCCTAACGTGTTGGAGTAAGTCCTCTGGAGTACCTTAAATCTTGGCAGTGCCTTGGAAATGGTTCTTTTCTAGATCCTCATGCAATCCTCTGGTTGGATCACTTCTGCCATCCTGGGGGTTATACCCTATTGGGCAAAAGATTGAGATAAGGATACCAGGCAAATTAGTTTTCTATTATTGTTGCAACAAACTCAATGGCTTAAAACAAAAGGTGTTCACCAACTCACTGAACCTTTACAACACACCAGTCTGACATATTTTTGTTACTTTTTTCATTTTTATGGATAGTAACTTATTCAGGTTTACGTGGTATTAAGAGGTGGTCCATGGTGGATGGTCTCCAGAGCCACCGTGTTAGCCTTGCATTGTTTTCTCCAAGAATGTTATTTCAGAAAAATAAACATACATTTGTCCAGGCCACTATTATTTCAGATCTCTGTTAGGGCAGTTGAAGCTACATCCTAACTAATCTAAGCCTCCAAATATAGTCATTTTCCAAGTTCTATTATTTCTACCTCTGTCCATTCCATTGTTTCCATTCCCACTGTCATTCCACTTATTCCTTTTTTTCTGTTACCAAAAGAACCTCTGAACTGAGCTGGCCTCCAATCCAGTGGTTCTCACAGCAATTTTGCTTCCTAGGGGATATTTGGCAAAGTTTGGAGTCACCTTTGTTTCTCACAACTGGAGGAGGTGGGGTTCTACAGGTATTTTATGAATAGAGACCAGGGACGCTGCTAAACATCCTACAAGGTACAGGGCAGTTTTCCACAACAAAGACTTAAGAGGCCTCAAATGCCAGTAGTACTGAGGTTGAGAAACCTTGATCTAATATACCCTCCCTGCCAATATATCTAGCTGTCATAGGATGGCATTTCACATCTGACCCATGTTCCTTTTAGTATACATCTGCGAGACTCTCAGCTTCCTATCATCTTTTAAACAGCTTTCCTATATTTGGGGAGATTCCAATTAAGTTCTGCCTCCCAAGGAAAGGAGTTCGGATCCCCAATTCCAATCTCCTTTGCAGCCAGGACTCAGGAGTGGGACTTGGTCTCCCTCAGTCAGATGTACCCCTGTGAACTTTTGATGTAGATTTGGAAGGTGAGGAGATGAGCTCTCTTGGAAGCTTGGCATTTCGTTGGTGCAGGAGGTTGCACAAGAGTGTGGCATCTGAAGGAGGCAGCCGTTCCCCAGTGGTGGCAGCAGCTTCCTTCCCTGTGGGGTGGCAGCAGCGATTCCAGTCGTGGACGTTTCCTGGTCGGGGCAGTTCTTCAGCATGATTCTGAGTGTCATTCCTGGAAGCTTAGCCAGGAGCTGCTTCTCCAGACCTCCCTCCCCAAATTCCCTGAGCTCCCTAGTATCATTCTAATATGCTATTCCCACCCTGCTTACTCATCCAGAGTCATCTTCTATTGCTCAGAACTAAGAACCCTGGTAGATAAAGGTGCACCATACATTCTAGAGTGTGTCCCAAATCCTTCGCTTAGCCCAAGGCTATTTTTGATATGGGGATGTACCCACTGTCCTTTACCCTGGCCACACCCAGCCACCCTGCCACAATCCCATCTTGCTTGCCACTAGAGAACCCTACTGTCACGGCAACCCTCCTCTATGTTCCCTAGTCCAAGGGACTTCATCTCTTTCATAGACAAGGTACTTTTTACGCTTTACAGTGACAGTTGATTCGATCAGCTGTAACCCGTGCACCCGTGCATATGCCTTTTTAATCTGTGGGAGTCCTCAGCACCTAGGTCAATATCTGACAGAGGAGATGATCCGTGCAGGCTTCCTTCTGGAAGGCCAGGATGTGGGCAAACACTGCCACCTAGTGGGAGAAATGTCAATCAACCCTTTTGGTTCCGACAATGGCTATCAAACAATGATGCAACTTGGATACTCTCTCCTTCCTCTAAGTTATCATCATCATCATTATTATCAGACCCTCTATGGTCACCAGCCTTCCAGATGGCTCCCAAGGATTGCCGCCTATTCATTGGTATTCATGTCTTTCAGTTGATCCCGCTGCAATGAAGAACTGTCGGTAAGTGGCTTCCGAGGCTAGGGCATAAAAAACACGGTGGCTTCAGCTTCCGTCTCTCTGGGGTTACCTGCTCTGAGCGGAACCAGATGCCGTGTCATGGGGACACTCAAGTGGCCTTATGTGGAGGTCCGTGCAGTGACAAGCTGATGCCTCCTCTCAATAGCCATGCGAGTGGTCCACGTTGGAGACAGACCTCCGGCCCAGAGTCAGGCTTCAGAAAACGGCAGCCTTGGGCTCCATCCCGATTGCAATCTCACAGGAGACCCAGGCAGAACCACCCAGCCAAGTCAGGCCCCAATTCCGGACTGGTACAAACTGTGGAGCAAGAAACGTTTGTTGTTTTAAGGTGTTAAGCTTTGGGGTGTTGTTATGCAGCAACAGGATACTAACGCACTTTCAGATCTGAAGCACTGACTGCAAGCTGTTTTACATTCTGCTGAAACAGGAGGAAACTACAGGAGCCTGGGCTCAACCTACAGCTCCTCGGAGCAGACGCCGCTGGAGCGAGGCGGCCACGGAGGAAAAGAGGTAAAGACCAGGCACGTTTGGGTCTTGAGGGGCGGCGGGGTGTGTCATCTGCATTTCCCGCTTCAGGGTCGCACTGCCAAGACGATTGAGGAGCCACCACATCTTCGCCCAGCGGCAGCTTAGGCGCCTGCGCGGTGGGCTCCCCGAGCTCCCAGGCGGCTCCGTGGAGCGCCGAGTCGTCGATCCCGGAGCCGCCTACCTCCGCGCAGGCCGTCAGCCGCTGCTCGCGGGGTGGGCTGCAGAGGGCGCCCTCCCGACCGGGCCTGAGCACCGTCGTCCAGAGACCGGCCAGCAGGCAGCTCGGCTGTCGTGGCGGGGCTTTCTCCCATTACCTCTCGGCACCGCTCCTACTCCCTTCACCCTTCAGCTCTGGTAGTCGTCGCTCCGGGGCCGCCAGCGCTTGAAGTAGAAGCTGTCCGGCCGTGCGGTCGTTACCGTCGCTGCCTCGGGGTCCATTACCCTGGGCCCTGCCGCCACCGCCATGAAGCTGCGAGTGCGGCTTCAGAAGCGGACCTGGCCGCTGGAGATGCCAGAAGAGGAGCCGACGCTGGGGCAGCTGCGTGCGCACCTGAGCGAGACACTGCTGCCCACCTGGGGGTACAGGTACGCGGCCGCGGCGGGGCGGCGATGGGGATGCGGACGGTGGCGCAGGCCCCTCCGTCACCGGAGGCGGGCGGTGAGCCGGCTTCGCGGGTCCCGCGCACGTGCAGGCCGGATGGTAAGAGGGCGCAGGGCCCTGGCTCGCGGAGAGCGTGGCCGGGGGTCGAGGGGGCTCCTTTCCTCGCCGGGATGAGCCGCGGCTTCCGGTTTTCCAGTAAAGGAACTCAGAGATAGGCTAGCACGCAAAATTCTCCCGCTCTTTATAATGTAAAGTTGGAAATGATGGGTTTGGTTTGGGTTAAAGCTTTCCAGGCGCTCAGGGATGTAATTTCACCATCTCCAGCATGGGGGCATTTCAGTGAAAAAGTTTGTAAAGTACTAGAGCAGTCGCCCTGCCCCCGCTCCCGCTCCCTGTCCCTCTCCAGGCCACCTATAACTTGTAGCGCTGCTGCGCGGCTGCTGCAGTAACCTTAGGGCTTCATTGAGTGTTTACCAGCCGCGCGCCGCGGTGAGCGCTTTGACTTCCCCGCTGCTGTTTTACAAATACAGCATGCCGGCGTGTTTCAAATCATTTTATTTTCCGGGGCAAGATGTTGTTCTTTGCTAAAGCCAAGGTAAACGTTGGCCTTATGATGATGACTCTGGAGACTTGCAGTTGCGGGCAGTGAGGTTGAGAAGTAAAGGGTCCTAGTCTGTTATTTATGGGGCTGCAGATAAGGAGGCTGCTTTGTTTCCGTTGAGGGTGTCTCCTGGGAGTAGAGGGGAGCAGAGGGACAAAAGTGAGGGTGGTCCTCTTCCAGTGTGTGCTGAGAAGACAAAAAGATGTTTGCTAGTTTTTTTTTTTTTAGGTGAATTCTTTATATAAAAAAAACTTGCTTAATTAAGTGGTTCCTTTTATGAGACTTTTACAAACTTTCATTTTATTTTTAGGGAATTAAGTAAAAGGAGGCCATATTATGAACTTCTCCCCCTGCCATTTATCAGGTTAAAAGTAAGCCTGATTTTTTTCTAAATTAAGATGAAAATAGGAAAACGAAAAATTCACATAACCCCCTTTAAACATTATATACTAAATGACAAGCCTGTTATTTCTTGCTGTTAAACCCAAGAGTTTTGCATGTTGACTTCATTACCCACCACAGATTTTCAAAATTAATTTCTCTTTTTAAGGTATTTCCATCTATATGTGCACATATTTTATTATTATTTTTTAATTAGGTGGGACAGTCTTGAAAGGATGTGAAACCCAACCGGACTCCTTGTTTATCCAACAGCCCAAGTTAGTTTCTCTTTCAGGTTGTAGTGAGGGCTGGTTAACGGGAAGGAGTGCAATGCTCAACTTCTGAAAGTGAATTACATTTTTCCGAATGTATGTTCATTTTATAATCACTGGGCAGTTTAAAATGTGTCCATATGACATTATTTTTAAAGTGTCTTTGCTGAGCAAGTGGATCTGGGGTTGCCATAAAATATTTTTTAAAAGGCCTGAAGTTTCTAGGGTGGAATTTCCTGCTTAAAAGGTGACCCCCACCCCCAGTTTCAGCAAACAGCTATTTTTTAAAGCCTCTTCTGGGAAACCTCTATTACTTTAGAAGTAGCTCTTCCCTTTTTCTGTAGGGGAGGGGAGCTCAACATTTTTGTTAAGCAGACGATTCTCTACCTTTTCTACAAATATAGATATTTGAGTGAACGCTGTGTTAAAAATAACCTTTTGCTGTGATGGATGATCTATAAACACTTAGTTCATTTGAGGTGGTTTCCCTTTTTTGCTGCCAAAATTGGGGTAGCATTTTTCTGGGTAACTGGCAGATTTCAACATTTATCATTTGAGAGCATTTGAAAATAGAAGCGCAGATACTTATTTTTTTGTATAAGTAGGATAATTTCTAAAACTTGAGTATCGATAACTTCTCAATCAAAGACACTCTAAATTGGTGAGAAGAATTGCATTTACATGTGAAAGGAAAAACGTAATGAGTTATTTCTGGCACTTTGAAAACACAGCATTGTGAGAAAGAATAAACAGCACAGTTCTTCCAAGGACTTCCTTCTTTGACTCTTCAAGAAGTTGATGAAGTCAGCATTGCTGGGGGTAAATGTCTCATGAAATGTCCTACAGTTGTTCATTGTGCCTCGGCACCACGTGGTGAAAAGTTCTGTACCTGATCTTTCCAGGTTCATTATGGCCTCCTTGTAGTCCGTGGTGCAGTAAGGGGAGAGTGCATTGCTCCTGGGTAGGAGCTCAGGCTCTTAGCCTGTTTACCAGTGAGTTTGGGTCTGCACTGTCTTCCAGGTAGAAGACATCATTAGTGAGGAAGAGGCTTGTACTTACTGGAGGATGAATTTGCGTTCATCATCCACATACACTCATCTAACTTTTTATAACTTTTCGTGATTGTGGATATTCATTTAGGATGTGGGTCTAATATTTTGGAACCAACCGAAACTGCCCTGTGGACATTGAATGGGTAGACTTGATTTCAGTCTCATCTTTTTTTCTTTTTTAATCGTTACCTGAGTACATGCTCATTGATTTTAGAAAATGGGGAAGAGGGAGAGGAACATCGATTGCCTCTCATATGCACCCCAACCAGGGTATCATATGCATCCAACACCCAGACCTGGGACCCAAACCTGCAACCCAAGCATGTGCCCTAATGGGAATCAAACCTGCGACCTTTCGGTCTATGGGACGATGCTCCAACCAACTGGGCCACACTAGCCAGGGTGATTTCAGTGTTATCTTGAACTTCCCAACTAATGTTGGCTGCATTTTTTTCCACAAACATTTTTATTTGCCAAGGGCTGCAGTTACAGTTTTGAACAACAGACAAAATACCTGGCCTTATGAAACTTAAATTCCAATGTGGGGGTTTGGAAAGAGAGACAACAAATAAATAAATATATTTTCAAGTAGTGGTGTTACAATAAAGAATAAAACATGAGAATGGAATACAGTGATGGAGACTGGGTGGAAGGCTTGAGACCTGAATGATGGAAGTCGGTCACTTGAAGAGCTGAAAGAGCAGAAGCAGAGGCCCAAAGGCTGCAGTGAAGTTGATCTGTTCTGGGGACAGACAGAAAGCACCTGTGAACCAAGAACAGTCAGTGAGAGGAAGGACGCACAAGGTGCGGAGGTAGGAGAAGCAGGGCAGGGCCAATTGCTGGGCTTAGAGGCCACGTTAAGGATTCTCTTCCAAGTTCAAGGAGAAGCCATTGGAGGGTTTTCAGCGGAGGAATGGTGTGATATTATTTATATTTTTAAAAGACTGTATTTCATTGAATCACAGTTCTGTCACTCTTAAGACACATTGTTTTATGTAATACTAAAGGAAAAACTGTCAGTTAAGCTGTGATATGTCATGGGTTTTGAAAAGCAGTCCTATTTCACAGATGTCAAAATATTAAAAAAGTGTATATCTTGGAATTGATGAAAACATGGATTAATGATAGAGAATTACTGTATCCTACACCCCCAGCTAGAATTTTAGCCATTAGAAACCTATAACCTAGTCATTCAGTGATAAGAATGAATAATTTGGTAGTTTTCCCAAAACTTTGGCTTCTTTCTTGTTTTTGTTTTGTTTTGATTGTTTAGTTTGTCTAGGATCATATCATGTACCTTATAGATATTTCAAATGTATTGTTGAGGATAATGGTAATAGGTAGCTCTTACCATCCTTATCCATCTTTCTTGGCAGTTCTGATACCCGGTTTGCAATTACATTGAACAACAAAGATGCCCTCACTGGAGATGAAGAGACCTTGGCTTCATATGGGATTGTTTCTGGGGACTTGATATGTTTGGTTCTTGAAGATGCCATTCCAGCACCTAACTTGCCTTCATCCACAGATTCAGAGCATTCCTCACTGCAGAGTAACGCCCAGCCCTCTGTGGCTGCCCCCTGCAGTCAGTCCAGCACACACGGTGAAGAGCGGGGTGACTCGTTCCCAGGAGAGGCAGCCCAGTCTGATGCCGGGAGTGATGACAGTATGGTGGGTATCAGTGCTCAGACAGGAGCTGGGTACTTGGGAACTCACACTGAACCGCTTGGTTGAATTCTGTACCAGTCAAGTTCATTATCATCAGCAGATTGCAGCTCATATTCTTGTGGAAAACAATTTTGTAAAGTCCTAAGTGCTGGGGTCAGTTTGGGGCTGGCATTCTGAAGAACCCAGTTTTTACCTATTTGTTTCGTTCAGACGTTCTCTCTTTCAGATACATTAGCCCTTGGTGTCTGTTGTTGCCTTTAGTTAAGCTCATGTTCCCAGCTTTGCTTCTGTCGTCTCCTCCACTCGTTAAAGCTACATACTCGTGTAGTCCAGTTACTTCCAAATGATAAAATACCTGGATTTAAAAAATCACCTTGGATTCTATGTGCCAACATGAATTTGAAAATATATGCACCGATGTTCTCTCAAATCAGCCATCCTTTGTCTGTCTGATACTACTGTTTTGTTTTTTTAGCTCAAAACCTTGGAGTGATTTTTTAAATTTATATTTAGAGAGAAGGAAAGGGAGAGAGAAAGAAGGGGAGAGAAACATCAGTGTGTGGTTGCCCCTCATGTGCCCCTTACTGGAGACCTGGCCTGCAACCCAGGCATGTGCCCTGATGGGGAATTGAACTGGTGACTCTTTGGTTTGCAGGTCCGAGCTCAATCCACTGAGCTACACCAGCCAGGGCCCTTGGAGTGATTTTTGACTTCTGATGCCCAGCCCCTTAACAGGCCCAGCCAGTTTTTCCTGTCCTTTCCAGCTTTCAGTTTTGCTCTACAGTCTACTTTCTTGGTTCATCTCCTTCCTGCAGATTTTTGATTATGTGGTTCCCTTTCTCTTTAGTTGTTCTGTGTCATATATATATATATACCTGTGCTCATATTTTTGAATTGAAAAAGACCCAATATCTCTAGTTCAACCCTGTCATGTACAGAGGAGGAAAATGTCTCCCCTATACTGGTTTCTAAGGCTTCTAGAGAAGTTGCCTGACAACTTTTACAGGGTGAGTTTCTTTTCTTTCTGCCTGTAAACTGTCATTTCCTGTCAGACCAGCCCTCTTATCACTTTCGCTCTATCAGCCAACACACTTGTGTGCTTGCCTGTGCACAGGACGCACTGCCTGGTGGCTGCTTCGCGCCTTGGCTGTCGCTCTTCACCCAGCCTGGGACCCACTGCCCCACCCCCTCTCCTGTCTGCGCCTCCACCATCCCCCAGGGGCCTGCCGACCACAACAGATTCCTTTAATTTCTCTTTGCTATCTTTATTGCCTTGTAAACACCTCATTTAGCATCCTGCCTTTTGATTTATAGAGCACAAGTAATCACTTTTATTACTTAATTTATTAATACCAATATATATGTCATTTTGTTAGTTATTTTGTATGTGTGTGTACTTATCACTTCAACTTAATTTTTTGTGGGCCTTAAACATTTATAAGTATTCATCTTGCCTATCCTGTCATTAAATATATACATATACAAAAAATACTTTTTAATAGGTTTGTAAATTATGAAAATCTGTGTTCTACGTCCAGATTTTTAGTAATGGTATCCAGAAAGATTAAGCAAGTTAAAAAAAAGCTTTTACAAATCTTAAAGTATTCTTATGATTTTTTAAAAAGAATTTGTTCTGTGTTCTGTGTTTCTGTTTCATGGAGGTAATCTAGGGAATGAGGAAGAATAATTAACACAAATTGAAATTACATTTCCGAGCCTGTCTTGCTGATAGACTCATTCAGAGATTCTGGTAGAAGGGCCCACTCCCATTACTGCTATGTACTATTAAAACTGTGTTTTTTTTAATAGTTTTAGTTTTCTCTATTTTTTAATTGCTTCAAGTTAGTAAATTAAATTCTAATAGTGTGTTGTTTTGCACTGTAAGACTTGTATAGGATGACTGTAAAATCTGAGTGTGGAAACTGAGCTTGAAATCTTACAAATTATGCTTTAAGTACGTGAAACAGTAGGATCTGCTAATTAAGTGTAGAATGGAGCATTAGAGAAGGAAAATGGATGGTAAAACTTGAAATGATTGGAAAATTTTACTCTTGTAGATAAGTGGAAATTAGTTTTCTTACTTCATTATATTTGGGAACTCATCTAGTACCTGTTGAGACTTTAATGGGAAACCAGAGATAACATGGCGTCACACCCTAATACTGCTCTAAACTGCATTTTAGTCACTTGTTCCAGTCATTTGTAAAGGACACAGGACAAGTGATCTGTTCAGAGAGGTGGTGCGAACATTTACTTTGCATTTCTCCGTGTGTGACAGAGAGTGAGATGGATATTCCTGCCGTGTCAGAATGGCTCCGAGAGTGTCAGTGGTTCTCGGGGAGTGGGAGTGGGGGTGGGAGGGGACGCTGGTGTGTTCCTCTCACATCGTCATCATTTTCGGGCAGCCCTTTGTAATGTTCTGTCTGTACATAGTCTGTCCCTAGTAACTGTGGTAAATGGTTAAGAGTTGGGCATGATAGGTAAGAAGCAAAGAGCCTGCGTACTTTATAATTTAGTTAGATGTTAAGTAATTTCTATTTGTTCAAAATATGATGAGGCCTCCTTTTTTTAGAAAGTGTGAATTGTTGGCCTCTAGGTTTTAACAAGTGACTTTGTATCTTTTCTGTTGGCCACGAGGGCTCAGGTCCTCAGGGATTTTAGAACAGCCTCAGGCTCCCCTACGTTCTCCCACCCTTTGACTCATACTATGTAATTTTAATTTCCTCTGCCCCTTCTTTAATGGAAATATGAATTTAAAAAGAAGAAACATGTGCTTTGCATTAAGAGTTGAGCCCATGCCGCGGAAACAGACTTTCTGAGCAAAATTAATATAGGTAACTCAGTCTTACTGAAGCAGCATGTTGTGCCCAAAAGCCCTGAATTGGGAGTCTGGTGAGCTTGGTTCACTTGCAGTTTGCATTAGCTGGCAACCTTGATTGCTGTTTAATGAGTCACAAGGACAGCCAGCGTGTATAAAGAGGCAGCGTCATCCCTCTTGCCTGTTTTATAGCATTTTTGCACGGTGCAAATGAGAAAACCCTGAAAACAAAAACATTATGAAATCATAGGGTCTTATCCTTCAGCATTTTCCAACAAGCCTTTATTGAGTACCTACTACATGTTAGGTGCTATACTGGGCTTACACAAAGAGGTGATACGTAGTCTGTTCCTTCCTAAGCTCGCACTCATGGCAGGACACAGATGTGTAACCAGGAAATCGCAGCACAGTGTGGTGGAGCACAGTAATGTGGCCCTTGCAGGCAGAGTGGTAGTCGGCACCCCTGTTGAAGAGGTGAGGACTGCTGGAGTGGGGAGGAAGGGACAGGTGAGAGTGAACCTGATACAGAGGCAGGGATCAGGTGACGGAGGGCCTCGTATGCTAAGGCGTTTAGGAGTTTGGGCTTTATTTTGTAGGCCTGCATTTCTCAGTGCGTCCTCTGTGAAAAACTTGTTTCATGAGATTATAAGTAAGTGTTACCAGGATGCTGAGCGTCGAGGAAGGAGGATAGTGTCTCTTGGTTAAATGTTATTGGATTTCTCAGGGCTTTACGATGCCAAAGATGTGTTTTGTGAGTGAGGAGGGGAAAGTAGGTGGCTGTAGCACGTAGCGTTTTCCAAACTCATTTCATCGTCACCCTCTTTTTTCCTAAGGATGTGGAGAGTCACATTCCAAGGCACAGTTTAGGGAAATGCTGCTGTCTGCCTCGGGGAAATTCTGGCAGGTTTTAAGAGGTCCTACTTGCATTCTTAATTGTCAGAAAACTGACTGCAGGGGATGGAATGTGTTGGAAGATAAAAAAGTGGTGTCAGGGTTATTGGGGAGAAATGGGTGTGAAGTGCTATTGGAATAGCAAGGGGCAGGTTTTAGAGATACTTAGGAGACAGATTCAGGGGAACTTTCAGGTATGGTCACATGGGGGGTGCCAGAGGTCTGGGAAGATTTCCAGGTTTTTGTCATATTGGCCAGAGGTGATGGAGATAAGGAATTTCAGATGGAGCGGTAGGTTGCAGGCTCGTTTATGTAGGAGGGCTCACTTCAGGGCGCCCCATTTCTGAACCCAGCAATGTGCTTTGGCTTTGAGCACCAATCTCAGTTCACTCTAGGATACAAAATGTCATGTGTAAAAGTCTATTTAACGAATTCATTGTTTTGTTATCCTTTTCAGGCAGGGCCCAGTGAGAATGCTGAAGCTGAGTCCCCTGAAGATGTTGTGGATATGGAGGAAGGCACAGGTTTCTGCCCCTCAGAACCGATGCTCTGCAGTGAGTCGGTGGAAGGGCAAGTGCCCCACTCACTGGAGACCCTGTATCAGTCGGCGGGCTGCTCCAGTCCCAGCGATGCCTTGATAGTGTCCGTACATCTTCTCATGCTGGAGTCGGGCTACATGCCTCAGGTAAGACTGCAAGAGAGGACAGACGCCTTGCAAGGGTTAAGTTCCCATTGGGGAAGGGGGTGTGTCCGGACATACAGTGTCGTGCAGTGTAGATTTGCTACTGAACGTGGCTGGGTGTTACATGTAGCGTGCCGACACAGCGATGGCATGAAATAGGCGGTAAATGTTCCCTCTTTTCCTTCTTTTTTTCTTCATTTGTTTTATCAGTTTTTAATTAATATTATAGAAGTGATGAGAACTCTGGTTTAAAAAAAGACTCAAGATTATGTATGGTAATGTGTAGCTAAAACGTGGTCCGTGAGTGTGGATTGGGCGTGACTGCACAGATAGCTCACTCGGGTGCTTTTTATGTTGGTGGCCAGCAGCTTAATAAGGGTCCGTTAGGAAGAGCAACATTGTTCTCATGCTGTAGTTGCTTTCATTCATTCACTTGCTTATTCTTCATTCATTCTCCATTTGGTATTGACCAATGTCAGGTGCAGGGCTTTGTCTCTTCTCTCAGGTTGCTTATAGTCCGAGAGGGAGAGAGAGATAAGCCCCAACCATTATACTGTATTGGTTAAACTGTAGGAGAGACGTGTATGTGTACGCAGGATGCCAGAGATTCGCAGAGAACATTTAGAGTAGAGTTTCTTAAACTCGAATGTGCATAGAATACCTGGGAATCTTACTAACGGACAGATTCTAACTGAATAAGCCTAGGGCGGAGCCTGAGACTCTGGGTGCTCCCACACGACAGCGACGCCACACCCGGCCCTTTCAGCAGTGACACAGGATAATTCAGTGATCGTGAACATGTGTGGGGTGCCACGTGCTGGGCCGGGAGTCGGGACATAAAGACAGTCTTCTTCCTTGGGAGTCCATAAGTGTGGGAGATTTAAAAAAAAGGAAATTATGCTGTATTGTGATAAATAGCATAATGGAAATATGAACAGAATGTTAGGGGATAAAGAGAGAGAATGACAAATAGGATTTTTGGGGGGAGAAAAGGCTTCCCAAAGAAGTGATAATTTGAGTTGAAAGTGATACAACTTTGGTAAACAAAGAAGTGTCTTTGAAGAAAGAAATTAATCTCTATCTCTGATAGAGATATTATAGAGATATTATCTGATGTTATTTGATCTATTTGAACAGAAATTGATGCAGGGTAAGATATTGTAACATTTTTCTATGAAAATTTCATTAACAGCAATATTAATGATTTGACAAGTTTTGTTAAGGGGACTGTGTGGAATGCTTATTTCTAGACAAATTGGGGGCTCCCTGGATTGTTAATCTTTTTGATGGTAATACCTTTCCCCATTGTTTCCCTTTCATTTCATTCCCCAGGGGACTGAAGCCAAAGCCCTGTCCATGCCGGAGAACTGGAAGTCGGCCGGCGTGTACAAGCTGCAGTACACGCACCCCCTCTGTGAGGGCGGCTCTGCCGCTCTCACCTGTGTGCCCATGGGGAACCTGGTCGTCGTCAACGGTAACGGACGGTGGCCGCGGACACTGCGCGGTCCTCTCCAAATGTTTTACCGCCACTGCACTGACGGGCAGTGATGCTGTAGTCATGTGTCTGGAGGGTGGTGGGATGCGGGGCTGATGGTTAGGCTGCAGCCTTCACCGCTGGGGCAGCCTGCTCTTGCTGCTTTAACCTTGTAGTAATTTTTTGCTCCAGTGATAATAGGAGTGAGATGAGTCTGTTACATGCGGACTCAATGAAGAATATGTTTTTCTTTATGCCTGTGGATGGCTTTTTAACTTTTATTTATTTACCCAAGGTCTTGAACTGACAGATGGTAAGAGGTGAGATGAGCTGGGCCCTTTTTATTCAGTTTGGCACTTCTGAACAGTATGGAAAGGCACAAAGTCACTAGGGTTCTGAGGCCTTAGTGTGTGTGTGCTGTATCCTCCCCCCAAGACAGTCACTCTGAGTAGTTTCTCTCCTCGTTCTCTTCCATGTGAAGACATTTCACTGGGATGGCAGTACATCCCATTTTTGTACTGCATGTTAGTTCGGATGCCACCGACAGGTCCGTGCTGACTAGCAGTGGTCTTTGGAACAGTCTCATAACCCCGCGTTCTGAAGATCCATTTGACTGACTTGAGTCTTTCATTTTTGTTGCATTTTGATTTTTGAGGTTTATCCTTTTAAGGATAAGAGGGGAATGAATGCACGTTTCATTTCCAGTATAGCTCATCTTTGTGTAGCAAAGGCAGCAGGCCTTCGATATGACTTGCTCAGTGGGGTTCAGCACGGTCTGCAGCCCCACGGTCGTGCTGAGACGGAAGCCAGCAGGAGGCTTTAGTCGGACTCCGTCTGCTCAGAAACCTCGAGCAGCAGCGAGCTTGTCTGTTTCACTTGCTGGCGTCCTTTATAAGATTTCGTTTGAAATCTTTTTTTCTGCTGAAATTTATTTTGAAAGCCCCTGACATTGCCTTGATCTTTGAAAGGAAATACAGTTCTAGGTTTCCTATTATATAATTTTTGTTATTTCTTTTAATCACCGATTCTTTAAAATGTTACTGACAAGTCTCAGATTTTCAGCTTTAGCAGCTTTGGTGCCGTCCCATGTTTGTCAGGACGTGACTGACTGACGGCACACAGACCTGGCAGTGTTTTTCCAGCTGTTCAGCTCAATTACAGATGCCACTTTAGTTGGGAATTCTTTGTTTTTTCCCAGATTTTAATTATTTACTTTTAGAGAGAGGGGAAGGGAGGGAGAAAGAGAGAAACATCAATGTGTGGTTGCCTCTTGCGCACTCCCCACCAGGGACCCAGCCTGCAACCCAGGTGTGTACTCTGACTGGGAATCAAACCGGTGACCCTTTGGTTTGCAGGCTGGTGATCAGTCCACTGAGCCACACCAGCCAGGGCTTAGTTGGGCATTCTTGTACACAGAAGTCAGCAGTTTCTGCCTTCATTTAATCATTCTGTTGGATCACATCATAACTTGCAGTGTTGAAGTTACCAAATACTGAATGTGAGGTTGTAAATTTTCCCTCAATTTCTTACAAAAGCTCTTTAACAGCATATATGTAATAACCTCTATTTACTAATTTTGAGATACTTAAAAGAGAATAGCTGCTAAATGTCTTAGTTTCCGATGTTTCCTTTATTTACCATTCTTGGCAAATCAGCTGCCTGCAGACTGGCATGGCAGACAGCCATTCCAGGCTTGATTGTTTGAAAAGGAGCAGTGTGTCCTTAAATCTCTCCTTCCCCAAAGACACCCTGCTCGGTGCACAAGCACATCACTGGCTCTTTCACAGAACGAGATGAAGTGTGCCTTTGTATTTGTGATTGGAGTTGAATCCTCTGGGGATGTGCAGAATATTGGTCTTTTGGGTCTAGAGAGAGATGATGCTGTGAAAAGTAGCATGATTCATTTCATAAACAAGGAAGACTCATCGCCAAGGGTTAAATAAAATAAATGGAGTTTTTAATGGCACTGGCAGGAATACTGATTTTACTGTGTTTAACTGTCTCCTATTAACCTTGTTGCATATCTCCCGATTACTAATGAGCTGCTGTTGGTGATAACTTTTTATATAACTGTTATATAAATGTGCTTACTGTAGTTTCTAAAGGTGATGTTTTAGGTGACTTTTAATTCCTGTGATGGCAGGTTCACACTTTGGACCTGGCTGAGGGAAGGAAGTAGAGACAGAGCAGTTTGTTTTGTATAATGCCTCCTCTGTATATCGGGGGCAAGGAGGTGCAATAAATGAAGGCATGGGTGAAGTGACAAGTTTTCCTCTTTCTTGTGCTTATTTACAGCCACACTAAAAATCAACGGTGAGATTAGAAGTGTGAAAAGATTGCAGCTGCTGCCAGAATCTTTTATTTGCAAAGAGGAAGTAGGTAATATAACCATAATTTAACTTTGGGGATGAAGCTTTGAGAGGTTCACTTTTAAAAGACTGAAAGGTAATATTAAAAAAACTGAAAGTTTCTGAATGAGATCAAAGCAAATTGGAGACGGTATTACAGAGTCTGTGTTTCCTGTTTTTCTTAGGGCTCTGGAATGCGGGCTGGTACTTACACTGTCGTTACATGATGACTCTCACATGTAATTTGCCGCACACAATTGATGCTTCATAATTCCTGAATTAATTGTAGTGGATTTTTCCAGCACTGTGTTTAACCCGTGTGGAGAGGATCTGTGTTTCGTGGAAACCATATAGTGAAGCTTCATTATTAAAGATGTTTGCTTAAACATATATAAATTTGGTTGCTATTTGATACAGATTGGAGCTTTACCAAAAGTTGGCATTCTAGGCATGGTTTTGCTTATGTTCTATACAATTATTAATAGATGCAAAGAAGACAAGTTTTCCTGTTTGTTTGTTCATTGAAGCCAAAGAATGAGAGGTTGGTCGGTAGGCGGCTGACGGAGAAGAGACGGGTGCAGAGGGACTGTCACCTCTGGGTCTGGTTTGTGTCTGTGCAGGTGTCACTCCATGTCAGCCTCCTCGTAGACTTAGGGGGGCTTTGAAGTCCGGATGGAGGGCGGTGTGGCGTAGTGGGGAGAAGACAGTTAAGGCCGCGTCTTTCAAGGGAAGGCCCCCTAGATCTGGATCCGTGCTTCGAAGGCCTAGAAACTTAGTCTCATTATCCCCAGGGGAGGTCAGGCTTTGAGAGACTGACCTGTATGAACTGAACCTGGTAGGAAAAGAAGGCATCAGAACACAGCTAACCTTTGAGAGCACCAGGGGCTCGGGGTGCTGATCTCCCATGCAGTCAAAAATCCGCACGTAACTTTTGGCTCCCCCCAAACTCAACTACAGTTGACCCTCGGCATCCGAGGGAGACTGGTTCCAAGACTCCCCTGTCGATACCAGCACCCACAGGCCTCAGGCCTGGATGCTCAGGCCTCTCGTATAAAATGATGTGGAGCAGTGCATACAGTTGGCCCGCTGCCATCCACAGATTCCCAACTGTGGGCGGAAAACAGTGTTTTCTCTCTGCCGTTGGTTGAATTCAAGGGTGCAGAACCAGGGGATATGGAGGACCGAGTGTGTATTCATTCACAAAAACGTGTGTATAAGTGGACCCGTGCACTTCAAACCTGTGTTGTTCAAGGGTCAACTGTACATTTTTATAATGGTCTCTGGACGTTTACTGCCATACCAGACCAGTGTTTCTTAACCTTTTTGTCCTTACGAATCCACCAATGAGCGTCTGTACACATTCCCCACGCTCCCCCCACCCCATCATTCTCTCCCACGAAAATTTAATACCATAGATACACCATGTGCTTGTATACTGTGGCCCTTTGGAGGGGCACATACCACTGTAATAACTAGGGGTTTATTTTTTTGCCCTCTAAGAACCGATTTTTGCCCTTCGGAGGCAATATTGCCCCCAGCGAGAATGCACGAACTGAACTCATGAGTCCGAGAAGATGGTCTTACCCTCAGGACCAGAAATTCCTTGACTATAGCACTGTATATTCCTTTCTATACTGTAGGGGATAGAAATACTTTACACTCTATAATGGTAGAGGTTATGCCCGTTTTATAATCAGGAAATAGGTCTAGAGGAGGTTATTACTTCAAGGTCATGGAGCTAATAAATGGTGGAATTAGGATTGCAATGGATGTGACTCCTAAGCCTGTTTTTAAAAAGAACTTTTATAGGACCGTGCTCAGATTTACATTTGTTACCTGGTTTCTGTTAAAAGGGAAATGAAAAGGAAGGAGAAAGGAAATGAAAGGGAGGGAAAACGTTTTAATACTGTTTTATTGCAAGTTTATGGACTATATTGAATATTTTTAATGTAGCGGTTTTTATGTTGGGTAGTAATTTTTACTGTGTCTTGTACCTAGTATATACTATATGTTGTTATTCATCTTTTTATTTATAAATTTCTAATTTTATAGGTCAATGAAGGAAAAATTTTGTTTATAAAAATCAATTTTCACACTTGAAAAAGGCTGTTAAACCAAAATGATTTTTAAATATCTTGAAATTTGATTTCAGCTTGAGATTGTAGTTCATGCAGCACAGATTTAGAGTTTAGCTGCATGTGTTTTCATATTCATTATCAGCCGGGTTGTGATGTGTTTTATGTGTCATAGGTAGTGAGATGGAATGGGGACGCAGCAAGCATGAGTGACGCACCCTAGGCCCTGTGGGTGGAGCTTTGAATTTTAACCACTTGGTGGTGGTGGTAGTGTCTCCTTTAAACCATTGAGCAAACAGGTGTGGGTCAGAGGGTTCAAGGTTATGCACTTGGCAAACATACAGCAGAACTGAAGTGGGAACTTCAGGCTCTTCAGATCTTTATATATCTGACAGTGTACGTGCTGTAGTGTACGTGTGAATCGCCTGGGGGTTTTAGTAAAATGCCGGTTCCCATTGAGTGGGTCTGTGGTGGGTCCTGAGATCCAGGACGTCGAAACGTTTCCCAGATGACGCCGATTCAGGTGGTCCGTGGACCACTTTGGGTGGCAGTTTAGTGGCTGACGTGGGTGCTTTGGAGCCGTACTCAGGTGTGTGCCCTGCTCTGCCACTTACTATAAGGCCTTGGATGGGCTTTCTTTGTCTTGTCCTGTTTTTAAAGTGGGAATAACAGGATTTAACCCTTAGGGAGAACTGCTGATTCTAAAGGATGCTTGAGAAACTGCTTGACGTGGTTCCTTACACATAATCACTGTGTGATAAATGTCACTCTGCTGGGATCTCAGCTCCCCAGGAGCAGCTCTCCACTCTGTCCCAGGGCCCAGACGGATTGGCAGATGCTCAGAAACCCTTGGCTGTGTGTACGCGTCTCACACCAGTGTTTCCTACTGAACTGCAGCCTAGAAGCTATAGAAGTTGGGAATAGCCCAATTTATATGATATTATGCGAATTTTAGCTTTAGATCTAAGATCCAATTTTCAGAGTCACACACTATGTACTTCCCTTCAAGTGTAGATTTCGGACTATGTTTATGTAGGCATTACTTATGAAAATGTATTTACCACTTTGATTTGGTTTGGCTGAAGTAGAGGGTAGCATTTCATGTTTTTCCACTTTGTTTTGAGTTTTTATTTTTTATTTTAAAATGTATTGTAGGGGAAGATGTATCCAAGGTATATAAAGATCTTCAGAAACTTTCTCGCCTCTTCAAAGACCAGTTGGTGTACCCTCTTCTGGCTTTTACCCGACAAGGTGAGCAGCGATGGCGAAGGGTCACAGGTTGAGGGGCTAGAACGAGTGGTCGGTTGGTATGGTGCTGTGCTCCTGGCCCTTCCCTCTTTTCTCCTCCCAGTGCCGCCGTTCTGCTCTGACTTTAGGCTTAACTGTCCTCCCTTCCTGTCTGTGTTTTCACAGCACTTTGCGTGTATCTTTACTGCGGTCCTTTTTTCAGTGTGTCGTGACTGTTGGTGTGATTTCTTTCCACTTAAGTGTGTGCTTGAGAGCAGGGAGCGTGCCGACTTCACCTCTGTATCCTCACGGCCTAGCACGGGTCTGGCCCAGAGTGCGTTTGAGAGAGAGATAAGTAAATGATGTATAGCCTGTGTATTGGGTCTAAGTTTTTTTTAAACAAAATTTACTGGAGCTGTATGCTGGTTACTTTGGCTATTTCACATGTGTTCTTTCTTAATGCTAACAACTTTGAAGCAAATTTTATTCCCATTGTGTAGATGATGAAACTGTATAATTCAGTCGGGTTTATAATTCACTCAGGACCCTTGTTTAGTCAGCTTTCTCTTGCTTGTGTGGGAGTAGAAGCTGCTCTAAAGCCTCAGTGACTCACAGTGCACGTGTTCGTGCTCAGGTACGTGTCGTGCGTGGCTCGCGTTGCCTGAGGGGCGGCCCTGGTCCAGGGCCTGCTCTCCTGGTGGCCCAGCCACCCCTGGTTCTTAGAGCTTCTGCTCGGCGGTGATGTGCCACTCCATGCACGTTTCCCTGGACAGGACAGTCCAGATGGCCAAGCCTGACCGTGGCAGGTGGGAAGTGTGATTATACGGGAGAAAATGGTTGAGAATTGTAATCTACCACAGTCCTTTAGTGGGTAAATAATTTCAGATTTGTATAAACAGATACGTGGTTTTTATTTGCCATCTCAAGTCGCACGGTGCCAAGGCCATTATTACCATGGGCTTCTTTAATTGGTGGTGAGGGAAGAGCATAATGTGGATTTTAAAACCCTTATTGGATTTTGATTCTCTTCACTAGTGGAGAATGCTATCACAGATATTCAAAGGCCCTGATAATGGAAAAATAATTTTCATTTGACTTTGGGATAGCATTTTCTTTTCTTGGTATTGCTTCTGAGTTTATCTCCCCTCCCTTTTGTAGCCTGCCCAGTAGCAATCGCTAACACTTGGGGGCTGTTGTGTGCCAAACGTTGTGCTAAGCCCTTTGTCTGTGTTAGCACAGCTAACTGTCCACGTGGTGCGGTGGGTGGTACTGTTAACCGCTTTACAGGAATTGGAGTTAGATGGAGTTGGAGTCACGTGTCCAAAGGCGCACGGCTAGTGAGTGGCAGCGCTGGGAGCCGGTTATAAAAGCCAGTGAATTATCCATCTTTTGTAGTTGAGCAGAGACTTTTTTGTTGCACTGAATATTGCTTGAAATAAAAGAGGCCATTGACTGTCTGCAAATTGTCAGTTATTTGATCTGTATTAAAAGGTATTTGTCTTTCCACTGAAACATAAAGGGATCAAGGGGCTTTGAGTTAGTAGTAGTTCACCTGGGGTTAGAAGTTGGTTGTAGATACCTGTGCCTGTATGCTGGAGACTGCCATCTAATTTGTTACTTCTCTCTGAAGGAGCACGTTGCCAACTGTGATGTGGAAAGTGTGGGGAAGGCTGGGTGCCCTGTACTCAGTGGTACTTGTTCTTTTTTTCCTTTTAGCACTGAACCTACCAGATGTATTTGGGTTGGTAGTCCTTCCGTTGGAGCTGAAACTACGCATCTTCCGACTCTTGGACGTTCGTTCCGTCCTGTCTTTGTCTGCGGTTTGTCGTGACCTCTTCATTGCGTCAAGCGACCAGCTTCTGTGGAGGTGTTTGTATCTGAGGGATTTTCGAGGTGATTCCATGATGAAATGTTAGCAAGAAAGGGGTCTTTTGTACTGAGGTCTTAATTCTTTTTTTTTAATCAAAGGGGAGGGAAGAAGACTTACATTTTTGTTATTATTGTTTAATCCTCATCTGAAGACATGCTTATTGATTTTAGAGAGAGAGGAGAAGAGGGAGGGGCAGGAGAGAAACATGTTAAAGAGAAACATCGATCAGTTGCCTCAAACATACCCTGACCAGGGGCCAAACCTGCAAGCTGGGTGTGTGCCCTGACTGAGGATCGAACCTGTGACATTTTGGTTGATGGGACAGTGCTCCAACCAACTGAACCATCTGGCCAGGGCCCTTACCAGTGTTTTTTTAAGCTGTCGTTTGATTTGGCACCGGTGGGTCATGAAATTAATTTAATGGGTCACTGTACAACAAAAAAAAGGCAAAAGAAAAATCAGCAGCATTTTATAAAATATATTTCAGTTACGTAGATATATACTGTGTTGTAATGTAAAATAATTGTAGTTCACATAAAAAAAATTTGGATGATGGTGTTAGAATTGATAACATGCCACTTTAGCAACTTTGAATATCTATGGGTGGATTTCCTTTCCTTTCAAAAAAATAAGAGTATCATGTGGAGTCTTCTGAATTGTCAAAAAACTTGTATTTTTCTTTTAAAACTTCAAAATGTCAGAAGTGCAAATCACCTAGTTTTTCTTTTCTTCCTTCTTGATCCCTAAGGTCCTCATTCTTTATTTCTGCCCCTGAATCCAAAGTTTAAAATGTTATTTTGTCCCCGGAGGCAGCAAATGTCATCTCAGAAATTTAAAAAGAAATCATAGTCAAAATGAAAGGACAGAATGCCCAACATAGGTGACAGAACCAACCAGAAAAAACAGCAGGCCACGTTAAAAGTACTCGTGAAAGGAGCAGAGACTGTTTACTTGTATATTCAAGTTCAGGTTTAAAATGTAATCAGTTTCTATCGCATTTCTAGATTGTGGTCCACAAGCTCATTGGGAGCTGAGCTGCTTAATGCTGGATGAATGAAGCATTTTAACCCCTTACTTTTTGTTTTTCCTTTGTAGATGGTACTGCCAGAGTTCGAGACACAGATTGGAAAGAAGTAAGTGTTCTTGGCAGAGAAATACCTAGTGAATTAGTGCATTAAGGGCGTATTTTCACTTTATTATGATGTAGTGAAATCTGTTTTCATTAAATTTATTGCTAATTTTCAGTAAATGGAATGTTTTCAATGTTTATTTTAGACTCAGCCCTCCCCTTTTTTTTGTAATTACACAGGCAGAAAATCTTAACACAGTGATTGTTTCACCTTTACTTAGTATAAAACACTCTCCTTTCTGTTGCAAAAAAGTTTTAAATGAACTGCTTCTGTGCTGGAGTAGTCTTCAGTAGTTTGGCAAGACAATAATACAAGTGAAAAGAATAAGTGATTGGATTTTATTTGCAGATGTCTGCTGTAAAAGACATTGATAAGACTGAGGAAAAACTTGGGATGAAGGACTAGAGAAAAATAAAGTTCAGTGACAGTATTCAAATATGTACAAAATATTGGGTTGGCTGAAAAGTCTGTTTAGTTTGTAAAATAAAGGACACATTTTTAATTTTCCCCAATAACTCTACTGATTTGGATATTTTGAGTATGTCAGCCATCTCCTGCTGTCTAGTGGGTAGAGGCCATGGCTGCTGCTAAACGTCTTCCAGTGCATAAGACGGCCCCACGGCGAAGAATTATTTGGACAAAATGTCAGTAGTGCCAGGGAACTTTGCAAAACCACTTTTGACACGTTCCATCAGTCACAGCACCTTCTCCATACACTGCCCAAATTTTTTCATTTCAGCTGTGTTTTTACCCTGCTTGAAATAATAAAGCATAATATGCTGAAAATTATGTATTTTCTTCCATCTTCAGTATTAAATTGGCTGCACAAAAATTTGCCAGTTTTGATAAGTCTTTTAAATAAATGCACGGCTGTCACAATACAATCTAACGAAATTGTTTCGAATGAGGCTAAAGACAACTAGGCACTACTAGAGCCATCGTATGGAAAAACGAAATAAACTTTTTGGCCAACCCAGTATGTTCCATCCTCTAAAACAGGGGTGTCAAACTCATTTTCACCAGGGGCCACATCAGCCTTGAGGTTGCCTTCAAAGGGCCGAACGTAATTTCAACTCCTTTACTATGAACAAGTAGTTACATTTGTATAGTCCTAAAATTATTTCAGCCTTTTGAAGGCACCTGTGAGGCTGATGTGGCCCCCGGTGAAAATGAGTCTGACATCTCTGCTCTAAAATAAGCATTTTTTTGTTCTTGTTTAAATTGAGGTCCATTAGGGACATAATTTAAGTGAAAAAGGGAATTTAGGTACTGCCCTCCCTCCATGCTGTAACTTTATATGTTGTGGCATGATATTTTCAGCAAATACTTAAATGTTCCACTTTTGAAAAGGCTGACTTAAAATTGCGTATTAGCAGGGGAGCTCTGGATCGCAGTCTTGGAACTACGTGTCACTCCTTGATCCCTCCTTTGGGTTTATTGTTGCTCCGAGTTGGCACAGTTGCTCGGTTGCAGTGTGGTTAAAGAGCAGAGTTCATTCCCTGTTGTATCCAGAGCCACTACCTTACTCCCTCACATAGAAACTGGAAAAAGCTCTTTCTGTGCACTGGTTTCTTTGTTGGCCTTGCTGGTGTGGGGAGAGTGCGGAGCCGTACAGTGAAACCAAGTTGGAACTTCGGGGAGATGTCTGGTCACTTACCAGGTCTTATTCTTGGCCTTCTTCAGTTGTACAGGAAGAAGCACAAACAAAAAAAAGAAGCTCAGAGACGGCGTGCGCTGTTCCTGCTGCCACCGCCCCACCCCGATCCTTTCTATCCCAGCCCCTTGCCCCCCAGGCCCTTCCCTCCCAGCCCCTTGCCCCCCAGGCCCTTCCCTCCTAGTTCTCTCCTTCCGCCAGGAATTATCGGTGGTGAATATGATGAAAGGCTCATACTTCCCTATGTGGGAGATCCGATCAATTCACTCATTCCTGGGCCTGGGGAGGTGCCCAGTCAGTTCCCTCCACTCAGACCCCGTTTCGATCCCATCGGCCCACTTCCAGGACCTAACCCCATCTTGCCAGGGCGAGGTGGCCCCAACGACAGGTTTCCCTTAAGGCCCAGCAGGGGTCGGCCAACTGACAGCCGGCCACCATTCATGTGATTAATTGGTAATCCCACTTCTGGAGCTGTTTGGTTTTGTTTTCTTAAAACTACAGATGTCATCTTATTGGGGTGCAGACTTCTAGTGTTTTCTGTGGTAGTGAGAAATGGGGTCACAGAAGCCTTTCAGTAGATACAAGGAGGGACCCCAAAAAACCCAGAATTACCTTCTGGAGGGTGGGCCCCTTGTAGCGAATTGTTCCCCGACAAGGTGAGTGTTCCGGGAACCTGTCTGTACCAGTCAGTGCACTGAGAGGCTGCACTGGGCTTCAGTAAATTGTTTTGAGGACTCATCATGTTTGCCCCTTTCCTGATGGGTGATTTAGGAGCGCGCCTGCCCGCACCCTGCTGAGTGTCCAGCAGTTTTTGACCAAAAACAGCGTAACCCCTGTGTGCCACCCTCCCTAGTCACCAGATTTCGCCCCTAGTGACTTTGTTTTTTGTTTCCCCAAGTGAAAAAGTCCTCAAAGGGAAATGTTTTGCTGATGTTGAAGTGAAACAAAAAACAGCAGAAGCACTAAAAGGCGTCAAGATTGACAAGTTTAAAAACTGTTTTGAGCAGTGGGAAAAACATCTTGATGTATTGATTGCATTAAATGGAGAGTACTTTGAAGGCGACCGAAGTTTAAACACGTAAGAGTAAATTGATAATTTTTAGTAAATGCATACTGGGTTTTTTGGTCGTTCCCCCCCGCCCCCTTGCATATTAAAGCTGCAGCGCACTGTGGCCCAAAGGTTACTAGGGAACAGTTGGCTGCTGACTTCCCTCCCTAATTCCCCTCTGGAATGAAGGCTGTTTACCGATAATGTTCTGTACCAGATTTTCAAAAAATTTAACTGTATATTATGTGGCAGTCTTGACTTTTATTATGGAAAGATAATGCAGCAAATGTTCAGAAGAGCTGCACAACATCACTTGGACATTTCAGGATGATCAGAGAACCTTTTCAGTATCATCAGATTGTTGCAGGAGATTTAAAAACTTTTCGTGGCACCCTTTCTTCAAAGGAAATCATTTGCAGAGGCCTGATTGCTAAAATGAGTGAGAATTGAGCTGGACTTTGGACACCCACCCGCTTATTCAGCCTCCTCCCTGGCCCTGCAGCTCTTTCCCAGGTTCTGGGCAGCACTGTTGGATGGCCAGTGGCAGGAGGGACTCTTGTCCTGTGTCTCGCTGCTTCTGCAGGTATGATCGTTGTCCCTTGTGTTCTGAACACTCGGTGCCTAACTTGTAACCTTGAGTAGAGGACCTCTTTTAACAACAGTGTCTAACTGATTTGAATGCTGGTCAGGTTCTTATTCTTCAAAGATAGCCTCATATTTGAAGAACGTTTATTTTTTAAGATTTAAAATACACAAAGTGCAAAGTTTATTTTTCCTACAACAAGAAAAAGGCCAAACAGAACTGTCTCACCACACAGACAACTACAGAAACATGCTACAGTGACACAGTCTGAACCACAGCACAGGAGCAGAACACCACTGGTATCTGCAGAAAATATTTCAGAATATTGCCAGTGTCTTCCTGCTTTTTAAAAAAATTGTTTTGCATATAAGGAAATGGTTTGGAATGTTATATGCTACAAGAATATTTTGCGTCCTACATATGTGTGAAAGTTTTTTTTTTCTTACACATAATCATCTTTCCATCACAGTGGAGAAAATTCATTCAGTAATACAGTTTTCCAGGGGCCATGTCACCTGTAGGAAGTAGCTTAATGCAAAAAGGACTGGAGCTGTTGGTGTTTTTGTGGAGTAGGTAAAATAAGTGTCCGCTACACGCAGTATTTGGCTTTAAATGGAGCTGGGCTGGAAAAGTCGCCCTGAAGCTTTGATGGGTCTGACTATGTCTGAGTTCTCCAACATGCCCTCCGTGCCTGCGTAACGCTAGGTTGTACTGTGTGTGCACAGTGAGGGTGGGGGGCCTAGTGATAAGCAGAAGCACCAAATACTGTAAAGCAACGAGTTTTCCAAACCCAGGGTTTCCAAATGGTCCTTGAGAGGCCCCTGGATGGTGCTGATGTCCCAGAGACAGACTGCTTTCCAGCCTCACCCCCGACTTCCCGGCCCGTGTGACAGGTCCCTCAGTTCAGGGCGTTGGCAGTGTGCCAGACACCTGAATATGCAGCCCTCGCCGTGGTTTATTCTTCAGTGCTCAACGCTTCACCTCTCGAAGAGCTGAGTTTATAGGTAGAAGCTTGCAAACTCAGTGCTGTTTTCATTACACTGAGGCTGTGGAGCTCTATGTATTGCTGGTGTATGATGAGAAATCATGGTTTAGCGATAGCCTAGTCTCTGATTCACCAACATCACTGACACATCGTAATGGGAACGAGATGGCTTGGGCGTGGGGCGTGCCTTTTAATAAGATGCTGGTCTGCACTGTTGGCTTGGAGTCTTCACAGCTTCCTGTGAGCCCCTTGTTTTCCCCTTTAGTTACTTTTGTTAACAGGAAATTGTTCCCCCTTCCCACCACCTTTGTCCATAGATGAAAGATACGGTTTGGTGTGGCTGGAAATTGAATCATGGGAGGTATGCTCTCCAACTCAAGGTTTTATGATTCTTTATGTAAGAACAGTTGAATCCTGTTCTCTCTTGCCTGGCTCTAATTCCTGAGATCATTGCTTAGCCTAATGTCTCTATACTTACTACTGTGACAGAGCTGGACACACCTCCCTTTGCCCCCTGTACTCAGGGCCCGGTGTCAAGGTTTGCCTTCCTGGTGCCCTGGGCAGTGGCTGCCGAACCACAGAGCCTCAGGGAGGAGCCGGATGGGTCCCAGTCCTCTGCTGGGTCTGAGCGTGGGCACTGCTCCTTCGCACAGTCTCCAGGTGACTCCATGGGATGTGGAGTGGATATGGTCACTGGGAAGCTCTAGGTAGGTCATGGGAAATAAGGATTTAATCTTGAGTGTCTCCTGGGATTCCCCAAAAGGTTATAGCACTTAAATTTCTGCTTTTTCATAGTAAAACAGTGAAATATTGAGAGGAAGAAAATGTTAACTTCTGCTCTAGACTCAGTGAAAGACTGGAAAGTGGATACTTAAAATCTGAGAGTGGATATTGAAATTACACATGGGAGGACCAATCAGGATAGAAATAGTGAAGGGTATGTAAGATTCTAAAGGATGTGCACACACATTGTAGAAGGAATGTTTACTCTTAGATTGGTTTTCCCTCAGTGGATGCCTCACGAACCCCCAGGAGCATCTCCCAGCCGTTTCCGTCTCCTCGGCCGCCACTTGGGAGCTGCGAGCGCAGGATCCCAGAGTCGGGGGTTCTGTGGGGCTGCACGTTTGTGTGGGAACACGAGGGAGCTTCTGTGCCCTCCACGTACTGTTTGGTCATGAACTGATTTGACTGACTTTAGCCCAGCCTTCCAGTTTGTCTCTCACCAAACCGGAAGTTCTGCCCTCTGTGAGAGCAGGGCTGTCAGATCATTTTCACTGGGGGACATGTCAGCCTCGGTGGCCTTCAAAGGGCCGAATGTAATTTTAGGACTATAAATGTTAACGACTCCTTAACAGTTAAGTGAGAGCTTGGCACTGCCGCTGGGTAGAAACAAGGTGCTGGGCCGGGTTCGGCCTGCGGGCCTTGTGTTTGCACCTGTGCATTAGAGTCTAAATACTAGAGTGAAACTCAGTTTAATCAGTGACTGCTCAGGAGTCAAAGGCAGCCTTGACCTTTGTCAGGCCAGTTGGTGACCACCAGCTTGCTGTCTAGGATAAAGACCATCCGAGACGGGAAGGTGCTCCTGGGCCATGCACTGCTCCTCCAAACGAGTTAGTTGCTTCCACCTGCAAGGCCGACCCAGCCAGCCTAAACTGGCCAACCCGCATCCTCTCCCCAGGTTACGTGCACACAACAACGTGGGCCGCCAACCTGCTTTTGAAGCCCTCGGGGCAGCTCCAGTGGGGCCCTGCTGCTGGAAAGATCCCCTGGGGCCTGTAGTGCAGTGAGTGGTCAGGAAGGGACTCCCGGTCCTGGATCTTCTCTGTACAAACCCCAGTGTTGTCCGGGTCTGCTTGCCCAGCCTCTTCTGTCTGAGGCTGACACTGGCACCTCCCCGCACCCGCACAGGAAGCCCTGCAGACAGCTCCTCTCCTTGGGGGCCCTGCTCTGGGTGGGGAGGGGATCTCCTGGGTCCTGATTCTACTTTCTCCCCCCTCCTTGTAGACTCAGTTTAAGAGTCTTGAGACCTCTTTCTCCAGGGAAAAAGACTGCACAGAGTTTCTTCAGCTTATCTCACTTTACTAGTCTCTGTGTTGATTAGATTCTGTTCCTGGGCTAGTGACTTCCTCACATTGATACTCGTAGAAGTAAAACAGCTTGTTTCTTCAATCTTAACATTTTGCTTACAGTTTATTCCAACCTGAACGTGCCCTGAGCCCCACTGTGTGCCAGGCAGTGTGCTCCCTGCTTTACTCACCTGGCTCGTTCATGAAGTACCTGCACGGTTTGCCTCTCCCTTGAACACGTCACAGCAGATTCAGGTGAGAACTTCCAGCACGTGGTTCAAGTTCAGGTGCTTAGGGTTGGCTGCTACTGTATGTGTTACTGTGTGAGTGGAGGCCGTCGCCCCAGAAATGCTGAGAGGTAGAACTGAGTGGCCCTGAGCACGGACTGAGGGGTGGGAGGGAATGGCGTGTAGATGAAGAGAACACGGAATGAGCGGGTGAGAAGTAGTGTGCATTCCAGTGACCCTAGGAAGCTGACTTTACATCTAATTAAACCGCAGGGCCCTCTGATCCTGCTGCTGGGGGTGGCCCGGGGAAGCGCGCTCTGGCTGGCTGGTGCGGGTGTCTGTCGAGGCTGCATGTTTGAGTCCCCACTCACTGTGCTGCCCTTGACCACAAAACAAAAGATCTCTGTCATGTGTCAGCCTTGCCAATCAGCTTAGAGGGGAAATGCTGCCCTTTCTTTGGGTCTAAATGGTGAGACAAAGCAAAAAATGCCCAACAAACAACCTTTTACAGTCTCTACAGAGTGACTCCCCACCACCCCTGCTTCGTGTCCTTTCCCATCTAAAACATGTCAGTGATTGAAGTTAAACGTTTGGAAGGAGCGCACTGGCCCGTGCGAGAAAACTGTCCTTGGTCTGGTCGTTCACGCACAGCCGGTGGGGAAATCGGGGTGCCGGCTGTAAACGGCTCCCTCACGGGGCACCTGTGCACGGCTGTGGGAATCACGGGGCCGTCCTGACGGGAGTCTGTGCTGTTGGACTCGCACTGCCCGGGAGAGAGTTTGAGTCGAGATGGCTTTAGGGGCAACGGTCAGAATAAAGGAAAACAGGGAAATTCAAGCCACTTAGTCCTTGTGTACGGAGCCACGGGTCGGCTCATGGAGGAGAGGCCCGGCTGCGGCGAGTGTGCACGCACACCGGTGCTGCCCCCATGGAGCGGCTTCCCCACCCTCTGGGCTCAGGGCGCATTCACAGCGCTCAGGCGACAGACACAGAGGCTTGGGTGTCGAGACCAAAAATGGGCTCCTTTGGTCTGAGTGTGGCTTGCACTCGGCCACGGCGTGGAGAAGCCGTCTAGCAAGTCGGCCCTTTGCTGTGTTTGCGCTGTAGTTGATTACTGCAGGAGAGGTGGGCGAGGTTGACTCCTTCCCAGCGCGGTCTGTGGAGACCGGTGAGTGCCTCGGGCACTTTCTTCAGCTCCTCACGCGTGGGCTTCTTGGCGTTCCACCCTGCCCGGCCAGTTCCCTCTCAGCCTTTCATTCAGAATGGAGCTCTAGGCCAAGGTCACCCTCATTTTCTCCTCCCTCTCCCCCTTCCCTGGGGACAGTGAGGGGCAGACACATCTCAGTCGTGTGGGGGACTGAAGAGGTGACATGGCCGTGTTCTGGTGTCCTGGGCTCTCCGGGACCAGGAGGTTGGGTCCGGCACCTACAACGTTCCTAGCACCAGGTGCGTGGTGATTCGGGCGGGCCTGCTCCCCCGGCTGGTCCCGGAGGCCGTGGGATATGGGGGAAGGGGCCCTGGAGAGGGTGTCGCGACTACACTGTCCAGCTCTGCAGTCAGCTTGTTACCTAAATAGGTTTGGATTAAACGAGTTAAAGCTGCTGTCTTTACGCAGGAATTCCAAGACTTGGACATGTAATATGTTCTACCAATCTCAAAACAAGGAATAAAAAGCGTTTCCCCAGTGTGCTTGGCCATGGGACCCCTGGGTAACTGAGTGGCCTGCCGACACCCTGCTGTGCAGTTTGTGACGTGCCAACCTAGAAATGACTGTCCTTGCACCTTCTGCTCCTGTGACCATCTGCTCGTTCTCTCTGGTTCCCCGTGTGTCCTTAGGTAGTAAACAACACTCCTGGTGGGAATGCAGAGAGAATTCCCGGTGGGGAGCAGAGTGTGGAGGGGCCCCCACCTCACTCCTTCCCGGGGATGTCGAGGGCCTCGTCCTCCTCTGGGAACTAGAAACAGTCCCTAAAAGGACCTGTGGTCTGCGCTTGGCTGCCCACTCGGGACGTGAGCGGTGTCCCCAGAGTCCCCCCCTCTGCTTCTGCGGAGTTCTGGAAGGCCCCACCTGCCACACAGGACCTAGTCTCTTTCCGTTGTGATCGAGATCCCGCTGGTGGCCGGGCAAGACGGGCCCTGCCTGCCGGCCTGGTCTGAGGAGTGGTGTCCGGATGAAACGGCTGAACGAGGGGGAGGTGAGAGGTTCCCCTGGCTGGGCCTCCCTCCTCCTGTTTGCAAAACTGTCACCAGGTTACTGCCTCCTGTAAGGCTGAGGTCCGACTGGAGTGTCTTCACTTGGTGGGGGATCGAGGGGGCAAGGCCTAGAGGGGCCTCTCCCGAAGGTGAGCAGACGGCCAACCGGAGGTGGGAGCAGCCACACACACAGATGTCTCACGAGCTCGTCCGAGGCAGGGAAGCAAGCATGTGGGCGGGTGGGACGTTGCGACGCCCATCCCATCGTTGGGGCCCATTTGAGGAACCTGGAGGCTCTCAGAGGCCCACTGCTCAGCTGGACAAGCTGGAATGTCATGGTGAAGGAAAATGGGAACACGTGTAGGTACTCAGCTCCTGGGTCAAAGGTGTTTAGAAAGTGTATTCTCGGACCCTCCATTCTGTTCCCGTCAGGAACCGAGGCGGAGAAGGAAGATGAGGCAGGAGGGGGGAGAGTGTAAGGGCACCGCCTGGTCCCAGGCCGGACCCCCTAGTCAGAGAACAGGCTGGCGAAGGACTTCCTCAGGTTGCGGATGGTCTCGGCCTTGGCCTCGTCCTCACTCGGGGGCCCACGCTGGGAAGTGTCGGAGGTGCTGAGGCTGTTAGTCAGGGACTGGGATTTGCTGAAACAGAAAGGCAAGGGAGTTTGGGGGTGACAAGGGCCGCACTCCTGAGGAAATAGTTGTGGGGGGCTCGCCTGGATGCCGGTGGGTGAGCCCGGTCACCACAAGGACATTAGGACCAGAAACCAGGCCTCCCAACGCTTACCCGACCCCGGGGACGTCGCCCGAGCTCCCTCACCTGCACCAGGTCCAATGCTGACTCGGGCCGGTCGGACCGCTCGCGCCTCTGTGCGCAAGCCCACCTGGAGCCCTGGGCAGCGCTGGCTCAGCACCAGCTTGCGGGCGCCCCTCCCGGGCTTCCTAGCACGTGGGGAGTCAGGCCTGTGTTCTAGACTCCCCCCTGCCATCCCACCCCTCTGGCCACGCGCAGGTAACTTTCTGCTTGTCGGTACCAGGTGCGGTCGCCTGACCTGCCCTCAGGCGGCTTCTAGCTCTTTCTGGGATTCGATTCCCACCTCTTCCTTAAGCCCCCACTGCTGATTCCACCCCATTTGGGTTTTGAATGGTGCCTGCCGTTTGACCCGCAGTGGGTGGACTTCTGTCCCAGCCCAGTGCTGGGCGGCGGGGCGCAGAGCTGAGTGCAGCTCAGAGGCCCGAGGGCGGGTGGAGGTGGCGGACACGGGAAGGGGTGACACGACTGTCTCCGAGTCGGAGAGAGCCACACGTGGTCCTGTCATCACTGCAGAAACTCAACATCCTCTTCAGTACGGCCACCATCCCCCCCTTGCTCGTCTGCACAGGGTCCTGTCCGTGACTAGGCACCGCGCAGGCATCTGACAGATTCCTGTCGGTGTGAACCAAAAAGTGCTGCTTCGCAGCCCTGCTGCAGGAGACTTCAGTGTCTCCAACTGGATCACTGCAGGGTCGGTGTCCACACCTGGCTTACGTCCCACAGCCCTCGCCTGGCCTGTGACCAGCTGGGCTGCCCCAGGTCCGTGGCACCGTGCCCGTGGCATTCTCCGCACTAACTGTGGGGAACCTCACTTCTGTCCTCATAACGGCCCCGTGGGGCAGGTACTACTGTCCCCATCTTGCAAGTGAGGAAGCAGAGGGGTTGGGTGATTTCTCCGAGGCCCTGCAGCTTCTAAGTGGTGGAGCTGGGGTCCAGCCCGGGTGGTCTATAGAAGTCTGTCTGTGCTTTCCCTCCCCCCACCACGGTGCCTGCAGGGTCACGTCCCATGGCTGTCAAACCCAAACCACATTTGTCCTTTGATCCAACAATACCAAGTCCGGTACTTTCTCCACAGCTGACCCTGCACACACAGGGAATAGTATGTGCTCGAGATTAGCCTTTGCAGCCTTTTTTTTATAAGAGCAAACCAGATTTCTATTTATGCTGGATTAGTTAGATAAATTATAGTACAGCTGCATAGTGGACTATTATACAGCCCTGAAACAGGCCATTTCGATGAACTGGGCTCTAGGAGACAGTGTTAGAGTAAAAACCAAGGAGCAGAGTCGTGTGGATAGTGGGTACCACCCTTTGGGTAAAAAAAGTGGTGGGAGGAACTTGAGAACACACGTCTTTGTATCTGTAGAAGGGACCGCTGAGGGACCCGGGAACTCCCTTCGGGGACGGGAGTCAGGAGAGCACTGGCTGAGAGCGAGGCGGGAGTGAGGGGTTTGGTGCATGGCTTTGATACAGTTGGTATCTTCTCTATTTTTGAGTCATGTGACTGCATTACCCATGGAAAAAATACGGTTGGAGCAATGCATGGCCTGGGTGTCCTGTACAATCCCAGCGCTAGCAGTGGAAAGCCAGCAGCTTATTTAATCTCTTATTTAATACAGGATAATACAGGGTGGGGCAAAAGTAGGTTTACGGTTGTTTGGGTGGAACGTAATCCAATAGTTAATAGATAACAACAGGAGAATAAACTCTGCGGTTCCTGTACTCACAACTGTACGCCTCCCTCTGCTCCACCCTGGATCATCTCCCTCTGTGAAATGGGGACAGCAGGTGTTCACGTCTAGGCTTGTGACAATAAAAGTCCAGTGCCCCTACTAGGTGAAGTGGTGAGGTACGTGGCACACAGTAAGTCCATGGTAGGTGCCGGTATAAAACTGTGATGATCAATATAGTGTTTGGATGGCTTATGAAAATGATGGCACAGACCCCTCCTGTCCCCACGGTAATCCATCCTTGTCCAAGGTGACCCTGAAGGTCCTCCCACTAGGAGTCTTATTCCCCTGCCTCTTGAGTCTGGACTTGGCCATGAGGCTGCCTCCACCAGAAGCACCAGTCGGGCTGAAGTGACACTGTGGAGCTTCTGAGCCTGGGCCTCAAGAGGCCCTGAGGCTTCCACGCCGGGCCGGGGGGAGAGCGAGGCCAGCAGACAGCCAGCACCAACAACCAGGTGGGTCCTGAGGCCGGCTTGGACCCTCCGGCTGCAGCGAAGCTGCCACGTGATTGCGGCATTATGATCCCAGGAGGTAGGGTTGCTAGAGTTAGTAACTGGAAACACAGGATTAAATCTGAGTTTCAGGTGAAAAACAAATACATTTTTAGTATAGGTATAGCCCGTGCAATATTTGAGAGCATACTTATACTCACCATTATAGTTTATCTGAAATCCGGATCTAACCGGGCACCCTGTAGAGTTGTCTGGCAGACAGCTCTACAGGAGGCACCTGCAGGAGAACCTCCCAGCTGAGCCCAACTCAGCACAGACCGCGGAACCAGAAATAATGAACCATGAAAACGGTTGGTCCTTAAGCCTCTTGTTAGGCAGCAAGAGAGACCTTCAGTCCGGGCACACCTATGTGGAGGATCGTGGTAGGGCCTGGTCTAGGCTCTCGCCTTGCTGGCCCCTACCTGCTGCCCAGGTTCCATCCTCTAGGCCTCCTTTGCCGGCTTCAAGTCTGGGTGAGGCCTCGGCAGGTCTTCCTTTGCCTCCAGTCTCTGGCCACTATACATCCCAGCCCCGCCCACACCTCAACCCCACCCTCTACCCTTCCCAACCCCACAGCACTTACTTGAGATGGGGGTGGGGTGGAGCTGGCTTCTTGGGCTCTTCCCCCTGCTGAGAGGTACTGCGGCCTTGCACAGGCGGCCGGGGCTGCGCAGGGAGGGTGGCGCCTGGCCTGGAGCCCTGGTTTGGAGAGCCGCCACTGGGTGCCCGGGGCAGCTGCGGAGAGCCTGGCGACCTCTGCTGCTGTGGGGATCCGGACTGGGGGCTCAGTGGCTGCTGGCCTTGAGGGGAGAGCCTCTGCTGGGAGGGGCTTCCAGATCTTGGGGGCTGAGGAGACTGAGCTTGGCGAGGGCCCCCTACAGGACGAAAAAAGTATTACATTCAAATTTTCCTTAAGATAATAATGCTGTGCACAAGTGTTGCTTCAAGGAGGTTCATTACAGCGTTTTTGTTTGTTTGTTTTTAATAACAGTAAAACAGGGAAAATAATACAAACGTCTAACTGACTAGGAACATTAAGATACATCTATACAGTGGAGTATGCTGCGGTCATTGCGCAGGATGTTACAGAATAATATTAACTAAATGGGCCATCGTTGACGTGTGCTAAGTAAACACTGCTCACGGGAACAGGCAGCGCCCAGAGCAGTGTACAGTCTCGCTGCACTTCGTCACACAGTGCGGAGCTACGTGGGAAAGAAAGACTGGGAGGCTGTGCTCCAAAGCCAGTCTCCCAAACTGTGACAGGCACATGGCTTGCGGGGAGATCTCGCCCAAATACAGGTTCTGCTACAGCAGGGCCAGGCCGGTGTTATGGGCCGCACTGGGTCCCTCCAAATTCAAATTTTGAGGTCGTAACCTCAGTGCGACTGTTTTGGAGACAGAGCCTTTGAAGGGGGGTACTTATTGTCGAACGAGGTCACGGCGAGGGGCCCTAAGCCAACGGCACTGGTGTCCCGGTGAGAGAGAGATGCCGGGGCGGACACGCACACGGAGGAAAGGCCACGTGGAGACACGGCGAGAAGGCGGCTGTCTGCACGCCGCAGAGAGCAGTGTCGGCCCTGCCAGCACCTCGACCTTGGACTTCCAGCCTTCCACCTGAGCCAGTACGTCAGTTGTGGAAGCCATTCCGCCTGTGGGATTGCTGGGGCAGCCGAGCTGACCGACCGACCGAACGACCGACCAATGCAGGCGGCGTCTGTGATCTGGGCCCTCAGCCAGCGGGCACTGGGCGCTGATTATGAAAGTGGTGGGATTGTGAAGGGTTTTAATTCTCTCGCTTTGCTCACTGAGGATATATTCCTTTTGAAACAATGAAAAGAATGATCCCTTACTTCTGGAAAACTGAATTTTATTAAGAACTTTCAAAAGCAATGTATTGTTTGCCTTAGAGGCTGGTGGGGAAGTTTTTTGTTTTCGTTTGTTTTTTTAAACAGAACAAAGCCTTTTAATTGTTTTTATTACTCAAAACTTGAGCTTTCTGAGCCTGTGCTTGCGGCTTCCACCCTTCACACTGATTTTCTGCTCCTTGCGGAGGAAAGCACGCAGGTGCTGCTGTGGGCTCAGTCAGCTCACAGGGGCCCGTGTCGCCCCGCGACAGGTTTTCTGTTTTAGCCCCATCAGAACGTGAGGTCTCACAGCACGAACACCACGGAGTCAGCCCGGGCACAGGCCACATGCAGGCTTTGGTGTTTTCCCAACTTTTTCCTAAAAAAATGCTTATCGATTTTAGAAAGGAAGGGAGGAGAGAGAGAAAGAGAAACATTGATATGAGAGAGAAACATCAGTGGGCTGCCTCTTGTATGAGCTGCGCCTGGGGATTGAACCCACAGCCTAGGTGCGTGCGCTGACTGGGAATCGAACCCCCAACCTTTTGGTGTATGGGTGATGCTCCCACCAGCGGAGGTGCCTGGCTAGGGCAGCGTCCTCAGCCTTCCTGGTATAAACTTAATTCCATTGCCAGGGGTCTGGGACACCCTAGTTTTGTTAGAGGCCGTACGGCAGGACAGCCCCGATGGTGTGTCAAACGCTGGGCCACTGGGAACATCTGTAGACGCAAAAGTGTCTACACTTCGGTCCCCAAAGAGATACCACCCTTCTCATCCCACAGAGGTGGCGGCTGAGCCTCACGGAGGGGTCGGGAGTGGAAGGAATAGCCAAGGAGAGGCCCCAGAAAGCTTGGCTCCCCCTCACTGCGCGGAGCATGCAGTCCCCTGCCGGCAAAGGGGCATCCTAAGCCTGGGGACGTCTCAGCTGCCCAGAAGCCACCTTGAGTGGCATTTGAAGGCTCCGTGCCGGCAGGATGCACTGTCCTCACCCTCCCGTCCGTGGGCCGCCCTGTGTTCCCCTCGCCATGCGTGGTGAGGTCACTCGAGATGAGGAAGGAGGCTGAGTTATCTCCCTGGCCCTTTCATAACGTGGCTCCCACCCACTCGGGCCCCATCAGTCCCCACCGAGCACCAGCCGCGTCCCTGGCCTTGGGCACCAGATCGCGCTCTGAGCGGCGTTACTAACCCTCCACTTCCACAAAAACCTAGTCCCAGACACGCTCCGACTTTCACAAGGTGTTGCTTCCAGCAAAGAGAAGAGCCAAGACTCAAAACTAGATCTTTTGAGTTCAAAAGACCTGTCTTCCTTCCTTCTTTTCTTCCTTCATTTTTTCTTTCTTTCTCTCTCTTTTTTTAAAGATAGGGATTTTTAAAAAAGATTTTATTTTTATAGAGAGAGGGGAAGGGAGGGAGAAAGAGAAACATCAATGTGCAATCAGGTGCCTCTCATACGCTCCCAACTGGGGACCCTGCCAGCAACCCAGGCCTGTGCCCTGATCGGGGGGAATCAAACAGGTTATGTTTCAGTTCACAGGCTCAATCCACTGAGCCACACCAGCCAGGGCATCCTTCATTCTCCCTCCCTCCCTCCCTTCCTCTTCCTTGTTTCTCTCTCTTTCCCTCTTTTGCTCTACCACACGGGGCTGCCCTGAGTCCTCACATGTTTGAGTGAGTTGAGAAAAGCTGCTTCCCTCTGGTGAAGGCAGCTGTGCAAGGTGCACGGGGAGGAAGGGCACCATCTCAGCCGGTCCCCTTTGCAGTGTGGGCTCGGCCTGCATGTCTGGTTGCCCTGACGCCATACTGTCCGCAGGAGTCCCAGGTCCTGACACAAGTCTTGCCATGAACTTGCTGTGGGACTGTGGAGAGGTCACATCTTTCTGGGCTTCTGCGCCCTCGTTTGTAAAGTGAGGCCATTGGACCAGCCACCAAATGCCCTCCTAGTCTGGATGTTCCCGTGAGCCTGTCCAGCACTTTCTGAGTCGGACTGAATGGCAGCACCAATTTAGCAGCTGATCGCACGTGGCTTTGATTCGTGCTTTTCTCACTCTCTCCCTCCTTCACGACTACACGCCCCAGGAGACTAGAAGACCCCGTGACCTCAAAACTCAAACACCTGTAGGGCCAGTCAGGTGCATAAATCAGTAAAGCAGGCGAGTGTCAGAGAAATCACGTGACTTAAAGCTCTTTCCCACTTTAGGTAAAAACAGTTCAGAGACCTACCTCTCTGAAGAGGTGCAATTAGCACCGTGTCTCCGGGTCTTCAGGGCGGTGACATTAGGGAGGAGGGGGACCCGAGGCTAAGGGTGCGGGAGGGGTGGGGGAGGGGTCCTTGTCCGGTCTGAGCAGCAGCTGTGACCACGGGTCAGCGGAGGCCGAAACTCAGACCAAGCCCACTATTTCTAGGACTCTCACTTTGGCCAGGGAAGCTGCGAACCCACGCGCTTATGCAAAAGCCCCTGATTTTAAAATGCTGGTTTACTTTTCTGCTAAACCCACTGCAGGTCAAAGAAAACACCTGTTTTCTACTTTCATCCTAAGTCTCCCCCCCTCCACCCCCACTGACAATATCTTGGAAAACCTGGACACGCTGATTCATTTATTGACTATTTCTTGAGTCCCTTGGGATGCGCCATTTATTTCTTTCAGCTTCTTGGCAAAGCAAACATTTTACTATTTTTGTTTGCACACATACAAAATATATTAACTTATACCGATAAGCTATTTGCACAGGATTGGTGCTAAAAAATGATGAGGCTTATTAAAAGAAAATGTCACTTTTACCGAGTTGAAAATACACAGTGAGTTCAAAAACAAGTTAATAATGTGATCTTGTTATTTCGGGGACTCAATGAAAGCATTGTTTTTAAATTAGCCTTGTTATTTTAAATCTGAATGTTAATTCAATGGGCATTTTCTTTAATGATCTTAATTGGTTTTAAATGGGTTGTTTTTCAACTCACTGAAAGTGTGTTTAGCCTCATGTCCCTTAAAAATAATATCTCTTTATCAAGCATGTCTCTGCTCTGGGCCCAGGAGGAAACCAGAACACAGTAGCTCTCTGTTTGAAAGTGCTCTGCTCAAGTGCGTTTTAAAAAGTACGTCCCGGGCAGAGTGGGAGAGGAGAGGCGGGGCCGAGGCCCAGCCGGCAGCTGGGCAGGGCCAGGACTGGGTCGCTCCCCAACATCTATAACTGAGAACTTGCTGCCAGCCTGGGGAGCAGTGGGGCTGCGTTAGTATCGAGGATTGTTAAATGAGCGTGGTGATAAAAAAAACAACACGTGTACTATAAACTGTTTGTCAGACACAAGTTGTTCACAGTCAAACGTATATAAGTTGTCATTACTAGCCAACTGTTAGCAGTAGGAGCGACCCCTGCTAAGCACCGCGTCTGGGCTGAGCACCTGGCTGGCTGCTTCACCTGCGCTGCTTCAAGGGCAGCCCTCCATCAACACACAGGGCAGCTGCACCAGCCCCTGCATCCCTGGGGACAGGAAGGCTCCGGGAGGGATGTGAATTGCCTAAAGATGGGCTCTCCTTATCTGCTGAAGAAGAATCCCAGTGTTCATTTGCATATGGTTGTGGAAATGATGCAGTTTTGCTTTTGGCTTTTCCAAGAAGAAAATCAGAGGCCAGAAAGAGGAACGGGCGTTCTCTCTGAGACTCGTGGAGGGAGAAGCCATGTCGTGGCCAAGGCTGATTTCGCCCAGAAGCAGTGAATCTGCTGCCCCAATAAAAGCGGCTCGGGGGCTAGGGGCACAGTGTGACTGTAACGCTTTCTTTGGAAGAGGTTCCACAGCAACCCAGAGAGAGGGCTGTGGGGCCGCCTGGCCTGGCTTCTTGGAGCAAAACTGCCCTGAAGCTCTGTGCGGGCACCGGGCATGGTGAGTGCGCCCGAGGCTCTGACTGTGAGAGGGAGGGACACGGGGCCGGTCCCTCCCCTTCTCTCCCTGGGCCCACTCAGTTGGTCGGCTAATAAACCTGTAGTCAGGCACCCCCCCCACCCCGTGGCCAGGAAATGGAGGCTTTCTAGAAGGTCTGAGGAGGCAGACGTGTGAACCTGCCACGTGCTCATGACGCTTCCTCGGACAAAGTCTCGACATCCACTTCCGGACAAAGGGAACACTGACCTTTCCACTGGAGGGCGACCAGCAGGCTACACACGAGCCCATAGACGGGAAAGTCCTCAGCTCAGTGCCTGGCGCACATTAGGCCCATAACGCATTTTCTGTCTTTCCTGACTTTACGGGGGCGACAAGGCCCAGACTCATTCACTCTGCACAGAGGGTGAGGGCAGGGGTCCGGTGGGTAAAGGTGAAGGTGGGCTTGTCCCGCAGCTTTCTCGAAGCCTCGCATGGGCCCCTCTGCCCTTCAACACCCTCACTGGGTGGTGCCCCGGGGGAGCTTGTCGTGGGTCCTACCTTGTGTGGGTGGGCGTGGCTGGGCTGGTCCCGGGGATTTTGCTGGTTTGGCCTGTGGAGCCTAGAGCAGGAGAAGCAAAAGAAAAAGAAAAAAGAAAAAAAGCCTGCGGCGACCACAGCCATTTACTTCCGGGTGGGAGGGCAGGGTTTGCAAAGATCTTGTCAGCACTGAGGTCAGATGTACCTGAAGTGTGCTGCTGCAGGTGTGCTGCTGCAGGTGTGCTGCACAGGGAATATTCATGCGTGCTCACACCCACGTGACCACCCCAGGTCACGTGGGTACACAGGTTATTTCCAGTGGAGAAGGCTGCCCTTGCCCCCTCCCGGCCAGCACCCCTCCCAACCACCACCCTGTCCAGTAAAACCACTATTCCCAGGTCTGTTATCACAGGTCCAAGGTTTTGTGGGAGAAGGGGGAGCAATTGGACACTTGTTTTTCCAGAAAGCTGCGAGCTGGCAGATTCTTTGGAGAATGACCTGGTAATTGGGGTGAGGGCTGGGGGGAGAGGCTAAGTGGGAGTTTGTAAGGTTGGGGGATGGGGCTTGGAGGACACAATAGTTCCTATTGACTGGGGCCGGGATCATACAAAGGGCGTGTGTGCACACCAACATGTGCACACACATTCCCTGCCTCCAGCTCGGCCCGGCGTGGAGGGCACAGAAGGGACAACTGACTTCTTGTGTTGACCCCCACTGCCCACAGATGCCCACGCCCATTTGGGACGAGGTCTTTCTCCCCGGGATGGAGAGGCGAAGGGCCCCTCGGAGCTCCCAGACTGCCCATCGGGAGCAGGGTCTAGAAGCTGTCCCTTCTGCCCAGCCTGCGTCCACACCCCACCCCTCTATCCCCATGGGGCTCCTTCCTGGGCGTATCCCCTTTGGATCCAGGAGTCCCCCCACTCCCAGGCAGCTTCACATTTCTCGTGGCTATAAAGTCTCCTTTGTTTCTGAGGACCTTACCCAAGGCCTCAGGGGCGAGGGCACTGTGCCCCCTGGCATCAGGAATTGGCTCATTTTGGAGACAACGAGGTCGGCTATCAGCTGTTTGTCCTCTTCCACATGCTCTCCAATCAGGGGCATTGAGCTGTCCATCACCTGTGGGAGGGAAATGAAGGCTGAGGGATGCCCCTGCCCAGATAGCGGGCAGGAGAGCTGGCGCAGAGCTCAGAACAGAACTGACCACTAGATGGCGACGTTCTCCATGCAAACACCAGCCCAGCGCCTCCAGCTGGGGCTGAGCCCCCCTGGAGACATCCAGTTCCCTGCTGTTCCGTCTAAACCAGCTCCCTGGATTCAGTTCAATTCAGCCTACGTTCGCTGGACCACAGAGACGGGGCTGAGCGCCTTCGCTGACCTTTACTGCTCTTTTCTTCAGGGAGCTGGTCTCTGCCCCCATTACTTGGCCCCCTGCCCAAGGTCATGGCTGGTTTCCCGAACTTCCCAAGGTCAAGGCTTTCCACAAAGCCAGAAGCAGTGGTGGTGGTGGCGAGTTTGAGTATCTCTCTCTCTCTCTCACACACACACACACACCCACACACCCACACCCACACACACACACACACACACACACACACACACACACCCACACACCCACACGGACTTGGGGTGAATTGACCCAGGGTTCAGAGAGAAGAGAGGAGAGGAGAGGCCCCTTCCCCAGGGGCTCCGACAGAACACAAGCCTGGAGGGGAACATTCCACAGGGAGTGGCCTGTTTCTCAAAGGCCAAGAAGCCCTTATATTGGGAGGAACCTGAGGGATCCGATTTACCCATGATGCTATTTGTGCCGCTGGGAGAACCGAGGCCCAGAGGTATGAAGGGACTTGCCCAGAGCCACGTGGACCAACCATGCAGGTGACTCCGCAGGCACAAGCCCCCCCACCTGTTGCTCCTCCGCCAAACTCACTGCCCCACTTGTTCTTCCCCGTTCTCTCCCCTGTCCCAGCCCTTCTCCCTGCACCCTCCTCCCCCTGTACCCCCGCTGTCCTCACTTCCGTGGCCCCACTGGAGGGTTTGCCCCGCAGCACCACCATCTCCCATTTACTTGCGTCTGCCCAAGTGGACGGGACGGTGAGGCCCCGAAGTCGGGATGGGCCCCGGTGTGCCCGGGACCTCCCCGTGAGTGGAGGGATGAACAGTCCCTGCCGTAGGTGCAGCTCCAAGGGACAAGGACACTAGTAAGTGCTGCATTTTACTCAGCACTCGCCAGGTGCCTGGCGCTGCCCTAAGCGCTGGGTGTGGATGATCTCAGACCGGCTCTTGCAGGCAGGAGAGACTTACTGTCATCTCAGCGGTAAGGACACCGAGGGCCGGAGATGCGGCCGGTTTCGGCACACCTGTCAGCAACCTCGGCCCTTCCATCCCTCTCTGCAGTGAAGGCTCTGGTTCTGCCACAGGCCTGCTGTCTGGTGTTGGCAGGTCAGCTCTCCCCTGTGAGCCCCTGTCATGTCACTGCACACTGGGGGGTGGGGGCAGCTGTGAAGACCCTTCTGGCTGAGACTTTCTGGGGTCTGTGAGGCCAAAGCACCCACTGTGGTTGGGGGGATGGAAAAGCAGCTCACGGTTGTGAATGCAGAGCCTCACGTGGCCCCCAGAACTGTACCTAAGAGTGAGCTCCTCAGGGTCCCAGCGGGGCCCTCGGCACCCCAGGCCCTGGTGCCTGGCACGGGGACAGCCTCCCCGTGACTGTGGAGTCCTACGCAGGCCCGTCCTTCCTGCCCCCGCCCCTGCCCACCTCCTTCCGCTCTGGTCTCTGTGTCCTGCAGGCCCCGGAGTGGAACGTGACCACCACAGCAACCTGAGGTCAGAGCGTTTGGAATCCCCATGCGGCGGACACAGCCAGAGGAAGTGGACGCTCTGGTCCCCCCAGGGAAGCATTTTTCCAGTGAGCAATGCCGTTCCTTGGACAGGTCATGGAGGACAAGTTCAAGGGTCTTTCCCCTGAGCATTCCGCCGTGAGGATCTTCACAAAACATGTCACACAGATGCTGTGTTCTCACCACAGAGGTGGCTGAAGAAAACAGTATTTTTGGATCTCTTCTGCTTTTTTTTCCACACTGGGCAAAAATACCTTTTATCTTCCTGGTAGCAAGCTCCCCATTTCCCTTGACCCCACCCTAACCCCAAAAGCCAGGGAAATAACTAACTTTTCTGAGAGAGAGAAAAAAAAACAATCTGAAGATACCCCCCCCCCCCCGGGAATATTTTTGAAGAGTTGTTTTCTTGTTTTTTAAAGTCCAAACTCACATAGTTTGCCTTTTTTTTTTTTTTTTTTTAAAGTTCTTTTATCTCTGACCCGTTTGCATGGAGCCTAAGCCTCCAAGGACAGATTTTCGTTTCCTAAGGTGAAAGCTGAGGAAACTCACATGGGGCAGAGCCGATGCTGGTGCGGGGCGTTGGGGGGGGAAGGAGGGCAGAGGCGCCTGTCTGGATGGGCGCTCCAGGAGGCGTGTGCTGCGGCCTGGCACTGCCTGGCCCCGGCCTGGCACCCAGGATCCGGGCCCAATGGTGAGGGAAGGAAGGAGCCACTGCGTGGGTGCCAAGCCCGAGTTCCTGTCTGGTGGTCCCGGGAGGAGACGGAGAGGCGGGACGGCCCAGGGTGCACCCTTGGCCGGAAGCTCCCAGGGCAGCTGGGGAAGGAGGGGCCGCTCCCCCAGGAGCAGCCTGGCTCTGGTCCGGGGCGAGCGTGCAGGCCGGTCGTTCTGCACCTTCAGCCTCTCCTCCGAGCAGGGCTGCTGGGGGAAGGCGGGTGTGGCGGCCGTCTGGACTCTGGACTCGAGGGGGCGCTGTTTTCCAGAGCAGGACTGAGCTTGCCAACAGAGCCGCACCGCTCCGGAGGAGCTTCCTGGCCTTTCGGGCGAGGTCGAGGGGCTGTGTCCGCCCGGGACTCCCTCCCCTTCACCTCCAAGGGCGGCCACTCCCTGGGGACGGGCGTGAGAACAGCAGCAGGGGTGTGAGAAAGACAGCCATACACACCCATGGAGCCACCTGGTCCTGCCGCCCTGCGGGTCGCAGGGGAGCGGAGCAGACACGGGGACTGGAGGGCCGCAGGCCCCTGTGGCCGCCCGGCCGCGTGTTTCCCGGCAGCGGCCCACCCCCGGGAGGGGCAGCCGCCGGGCTCGCCCTCACGTGTCTTGGCCTTGTGTCAGCACCACGGCCTGCCCAGCTGCTGTGGTTTGAGGAGAAGGTGCTTTTGGAGGGTGGGGGTGTGAGTGGGAAGGGAATTGGGGGGCAGAAGGGAGACCCCTGAGGCCACAGGCATTTTCAGGGGAGAACAGAGGGGAGGCATGGGCTGTGGGGGGCAGGGAAGAGGCGCCGAGGGGCAGAGAGAGACAGGCGGAGTCTGGAGGAGAGGGGGCGCTCCTGGGCCTGGGGAAGCCGGGAGGGGAGGCTGGTGTGGGGAGCCACGGCAGAGGCAGGCCCGAGGGCCACACGGGCGCAGGAGGGCTGTGCGAGGGGTTCGAGGGCCCACGTCCCTCCAGCCGCCCCTGGACGGTTAATTTCTGTACGTCTTTCCCTCCGCTGTCAGTGCGCAGCCAGCAGGGCCTCACCCTCCTTCTTCCCTGCGCCCGCACGCCCCTGCCTGTGTTGTGCCCCCAGATCTGCCCCAGAGCCCCGCAATGCAGTGCGTGTTTGCTGGGTGCACGGACCACGGGAACTCTGCGTGGTGACTTTACCCAGTTGGACGCTGAGAAAATCTGATAGGCCCAATGCAACAGAATCTCACCAACCCTTAGTCTGCCGTTCTTGCCCTGCCCTCAGGTCCACAGGGTAGGAGATGTTGTCAAACCTCATGCCTGCAGCTCCGAAGGCAGCTCGGAACCCCGGGGCACACAGGCTTTAGATTCACCCGAGGGTGGGGATGGGATGTGTGTGAGGGTGGTGGGCGAGAAGCCAGTGGGAGTGCGGGTGCCCAGGCTGAGTCCCGCCACAGCTGGCCAGGCCCCCTGCAAAGCTGGGTACCCCGCCTAGGTTGCTGCCCTAGGGCATGTCTGCCTGGGGGCCGGGCCGGAGGGCCCCTGCTTCCTCCCTCACCTCGATGATGTAATCCCTGCCATCCTTGCTGTGGACGGCCTTGACCGCGCAGATGTCCAGGCCGCCAAACATTTCTGAGCAGCTGTCCACCCACAGCCTGTACCTGCAGGGATGGACCAGCAGTGAGTGTAGCCAGGACAGGGCAGGGGGCAGGGGGCAGGGGGGAGACAGAGATGGAGAGGCCCCCAGAGACACACAGAGAACAGGCTGTGGGACGGACCCCCGCGCACACCCATTCACAGACAGACAGGAAGAATGGAGACATGGTGAGAAAGACAGAGAGGCAGTGGGAGAGGCAGAATGGCAAAAAAAAAAGGCAGAGACAGAGATGGGCAGTGAGAAGGACAGACAGACAGACAGACAGAGAGACCAGAGAGGGAGCCAGGCAGGCAGGAGCCGGGTGGGATGAGGGAGCAGGATGAAGAGCTGGGGGAGGGGCCCAGGCCCACCCCAGCACCTTGCCGGTGCCCCAGTGGTGGGGGCGCCCCAGCTTGCCCCACCCCATCCAGAGCCACCCCGGACACCCAGCCGCCCCTGTGGCTCTTTTCCCTTGGGAAAGGCTTCAGAAATCCCCCCAGCCGCCCTCCCAGCCCCAGCGACGGGGCTAGACGGAAGCCTGCAGGGGGACAAAGAGCACATTCTGCCCTGAGCTGGGGCGGGTGTGCGAGGGAGCCCGGCAGGCTGCTCCGGGGCCAGGGGCCTGGCCCTCTGGACCTGCTGCTTTTGTTCCCTTTCCAGCCACTTGATGGCTGCGAGGCCAGTTTGCTTTGCAGGGGAAAGAGCTCTGCTCCGGACTCCTCTGCCCTACAACAAGGGGATGGTTGTGTCCGAGGCGCTTTCCTGGGCTTGCACTTGGCGTCCCCAGGGTGGTGGCTGGGCTTGGGAGGCACAGGGGCCCTGTCAGCATTTTTGCTCCTTTCCCCACTCTGCCGGGTCACAGGGGCCACGCCTGCTCAGAGATCCGCTTGCGTCTCTGAGCCATCGGCCTGGAATGAGGAGAGGTCATGGCCCAAGTGCTCTTAGAACAACTCTCTCATCTTCCAAAGCCTACTGAGGCCCAGAGAGGGAGAGCGGCTTGGCCAGGTCACACAGCAAGATGGTAATAGAGCTTGGACCGCCCCAATTTTCTGGCTCCTAGTTCAGTTTTTTTATTCACCTGCAGCATGTGAGACTGTAGAAGTAAAAGAAAGGATGAAAACTCATGCCTCTTAAGCTCCTACTATGTGTCAGGCATTCTATGGGGGGCTGACTCCTCAATCTTTCTGACCCCCACACCAACTCTGTGAGGAAGATGTGGAGGTTTAACCCATTTTACTGAAGAGGAGACTGAGGCTCCCAGAGGTCACCGAGTGGCTGGGTAGGCTCCCAGACCCAGGTCCTGTCCAATTCCACCGTCTGAGAAGCTGCCCTTCCTCTCAGTCAGGACGTCACGACCTGCTGTCCCTCAGCTCGGGAGACCAGCCTCCTGGGCTGTTACTGTCAGTTCCCTCCACGGTTCTGGGTGAGCCTTTCCCTCCATTTCCTGGTCTGAGAGATGGAAAGGCCCAGGTCTGGCTGGCGGCTGATGTCAGAATCACCAGGAGAACAAGGCAAACGAGCACGCAGCGAGGTCTGGGGGCTGCCCTGTGTTAGACGAGTCTCTCTGAGTTTTTCAAGTTTCCCACGGGGTTCTCACCTGCAGCCACATCTGGGGATGACCTTTGGTCCTCGGAGCGCTAAGAGCCCCCTGGGCTCTCTGATTCAGGCCCTTGTATTGGGCCCCAGTGGCCAAATGGTGGGGCACCTTCAGCTTAGGAAGACCCACACTGAGACCTACTTACAAATCAGGCTTCTTCTCAAGGGAAGGCTGACGTCTGGCCCTGGGCCCAGAGGCAACTTTTTGTCACCTACCGAGTACCCCCCATGGGGCACAGTCCCCTCCCCTGGGGCCAAGGAAGGGCCTTCATGGATGGAGCAGTTTGGGAGAGACGGGAGACCATGGGGTCCCCTCCGGCTTGGCACCCACCAAACCACACCGTTGGCTTTGCCCAGGGGTTAGGCTTCCTGGTGGGCAGTTGAGCCAGGTGGAGGGGAAGGGAGAGGGGCCTGTTTATAGGCCCCCAGGGATCTGCCCCGTGGACACAGGATGGTGGCCTCGGGGCCCTGTCTGTGATGCTGCAGAAGGAGAGTGGATTCTGGCCAGAGTCAGAGCAGACCTGTCTCCATGGTGGGCTCCTGCAGGGATGGCCCATGTGGGCGGAGACCGGGCAGAGCCAGCGACATGGTGGCTTGCTGGGGACATTTCTGAGCAGCTCCTGAGGCACTGGGGAAGGCTGGGCTCACATTCTGGACAGGCTATGACTGTCCCATGAATGCCCCGGGAAGAACGATATGACCTCTCCAGACCAGGGGACGGATGTGCAGGTAATGAGCACACACCCCTGACGCTGGCTGGTGTAGGTGGGTTCCCGGATTGAAGGCTGCAGCTGCCACCTGAGGCTGAGGGAAGGAAAGGAAGCCAGTGCTGACCGTGTCCCTCCCTGCATGGACCAGTACTGGTTAGGTACTGGACATCACTCCCTCAACCAGCACTCTGACTTGGGTGTTATTACTCCAATTTATGGCTGAAGAAGTTCAGAGAGGTTAGTTAACCTACCCTAGGTAACACAGCTTGGAAGAAGCAGGACCATTCACCCTTTTCCATGCTTCCTCAGCTTAGAGTCCCTGAACAGGAAGTTCCGTGAGGGGGACCCTGTCTGTCTTGATTGCCACCCTGTCTCCTGGGTGTAGCTCAAAGACTGGCTTCCTGCTGGTGCTCAGCAAATAACTGACAAAAAAATAGGGGAATGCCTCCCAACTCCTACTCATTCTTCACAAGGTGATGCTGGCAACACTTCCTTCAGGAAGCCTTCCTTGACTTCACCCTTCCTTAGTTCATGTTGGGTGCCCCTTCTCTGTTCTCCCACTGCAACCCCCCAGCACTTACTTTCACCCTACGGTCACCCCACTCTTTGTCTTCTTAATTAGCTGGGGAGTCCGCAGTGGACCTCACAGTGGGCCTGCGCGATGTTTATTTTCCTTCCCACTAAAGATTTCTTGATACTGCTTGGTCCTCTGTCCCTCCCTTAGTCTCAGTCATTGTTGCTAAGGTGGAGGGGGGCGGTCCCACTCCAATTTCCACTGGCAGAGACTTGATGTAGGACTATCCAGTCACAGCAAGGCAGCTTTCTGAGCCACGGCGATTGGTTCAGGGGTGGTCATGTGTCCCAAGTCAGGCCCAGTGGTGAATAAGGCTCAAGTCCAGGCTTCGAGGAAATGGTGGGGAATGAGTTTTCTTCTGCCCGGACTCGACACCGTCAGGATGCAGGCCTGGAGCCCCTGTGGGCCACCACGCGAACGAGCTGGCCATACTGACGCCAGCAGAGAAGAAAGCTGAGCGGAAGCAGGTAGAGTGAGTCCTAGCCTGTGGCCTGGGGCCTTGCCACTGGGATTTTCATTGCCACAAGCCAGTAAGTCCCCTTTGGGACTCAAATCAGTCTGATGCCTGTGCTGACACTTGCAATTAGTAGAGAGCTGTCAGAGGGAGGACGGGATGTTTTCCTCCTGGCCTCTGCTGCACTCACACAACCTGGCGTGAGGTAGGCGCTCAGTTCCTGTTCACGGAGCAGACCTTTCTGGCCCCCAGGCCTGTGCTCAGCGCACCGCAGTTGCAGGCTTGCATGCAGGATCAGTGGGCATGCACAGGGAAGTGTGTGTGCACGTGTGTGTGCACCGCCGACCCCGAGAACAGGTGACTGGCCCTTCCCCAGGCAAGGGCGACTTGCAACAGTATTTCAAGGAGAAAGTCCTGAGGGACCCTCAGCCAGAGCTCACTGCTGCCGCATTCACGATTCCCAGGAAATCACCTTCTCCTTCCTTACACCGAGATGGAACTGAGTCAGGGAGGACTGGACACCCCAGTAGCCTTGGTTCCCTGACAAGGATGCTTCCATGTGGCTGTCAGCGTGGTGGTGGTGGGGTACTGGCAAGGACGCCCTGCTCTCTCCCTGCAGCAGCTGGGCGGGGCTAGAAATGCCCTTGGATTTGGAGTCAGGCGATCAGGATTCTATTCTCAGCTCCATCATTGATCAGCTCTGTGACCCTGGACAAGTCACTTTCCCCCTCTGAACTTTCTTCTTCCATCTGTAAAACGGGGTTATTGTAACACCTGTCCTGCAGGTGGTTATGGGCCACAAAGGAGGTTATGTGCCTAGGGAAGTGCCCTGTGGGGGGTAAGGCACTGGCCACAGGGCGAGGTGGCACTCCTTGGAGAGTCCTGGTTGTGTTCCTCACCCACCTCCCACCACAGCTGCTGTTTCTCCCGGGCACCTGCTCTGTCCCTTACCTCTCCGTCATCGCCACCTGCTCCAGCATGGCAGAGCCTGTGTTGGCCTTCCAGTTGCCAGAGATGGAGGTTCTCCTGCGTCAGAACAAATAACACAGTGAGGGCATTAGGGACACCTTTAGGGACACCTGTCACTGCTCTGCTTTCCTTCTTTGCTTTGGCTGCTAGGAGGCTCCGATTCAAATATCTGGCTCTCCTTACGACGCATATTCTTAGGTAACCATCCTACCCTCAGCTTTATTTTTTGTGTTGACTGCCTTGTTTCTTGGATTTTAGGTCTTTTTTTCAAGGCTACCTTGAAATTGAAAAATTAAGTTTAAAAACCATCTACACTAAGGACAAAATCCCCCACACCTTGGCAGTATGAGCCCTGGGGACTCTGGAATGCGCTGACAGCCCAATACGTAGGGAAAATAACCCGTGGGGAGGAGTGGTCACTTCTCCATGGTGAAGAGCAGGAGGCCCCTGGCCTCGTCCCCTCTCAGGTCCCTTGTCTTTTCTGCCAGGCAGCAACCACCCGGCTTTGGGTGCTCCAATGCCCAAGGCGCTCTCCTGTGCTGAGGCCTCCACACCCCCCTTTCCGTTGCCCGATCCAGGCTTTGTCTCCATCTTCGCCTCCCTAAGTCCTACTCCCCTTTGAAGCTGCATCCTGAACGGTGACTTCCTGGCAGCCCACCTTCCCGAACTAGCATAGACCCTCCTACACTATGCCCTACACCAGTGTGCGGTCATGCTGCTGTCACCTGCAGTGACTGCTTCAGCGTCCTGTCGTCCCTGAGGGCAGGGGACATGTCTGACTCATCCCCTGGTGTCCACCGGGACCTGGCACGTAGCAGGTGAGTAAGGGACTGCGGGTGCACACAGACCATCCCCAATGGCTAACACGCACTCAGCAAAGACCAACCGATACAAACAAAGGGGCAGAGGCAAAGCTGTTTGTTCTGTGGCCCAGGGCAGGCACGAGGTTGCGATTAAAGGGTGGCTGGGGAGAGGAACTGCTACAAAAACGTGTTCTTCTACAAGAGAAAAGACAGGTGCCTGAGGAGAGCAGAGAGTAGCTGCCGGCGGATCACAGGAGTCGTGACTGCCGAGGGAACCGACATGCTTCCTGCCAGTTCAGCTTCGTTCAGTTGAGCTCAGCTGAACTCGGTGCAGTGTGGCCCACACTCACGGCCCCCTCCTCAGGATGTTCTCGAACACCCAAGTCCAGGCTTGGAAGCATTATCAGTCCACCGAGGGAGAGGAGGGCTCTGGGGAGCAAGGACGCAACTGGCATCACTTAATGTGACCCCAGAAGGCAGCCATCGAGGTGAGCCTGCAGGGTGAGTGGGGACTGCCACAGTGGGTCTCCGCTCTGCTGAGGGAGGGTGAACACTGGCTCGGGTCAGACAGAGGGAGTGTGAGTCTTGGTGCAGCCGTTTGTAGCTGTGTAACTGTGCTCAGCATCTCTGAGTCTTTATGCTCTCATTGGTAAGATGGGAATTAAAGTGCCACCCTTACAGGGTAGTTATATAGATGAAGGGAAATATTCCCATAAATCTCTCAGTATAATGGGTGCTACTATTATTTCTCAGAGAGTGGAAACAAGAAAGAAAGGCACTCCGAGTGATGCCAGGAGCAGCAGGAGCAGGGCCAGACTGCTCTCCTTCCAAGAAGATAACGATGGTGAGAGCTGATATTCAATGAGTGCTTTCTATGTGTGAGACGTGGGTCTAAGGGCTTCATGAGCACTGGCTTATTTCAGCCTCACTGAACCTAATGAGATGGACATTATTTTATCATCATTCCCACTTAGTGGCAGAAGCCACCAGCCCATATCTGAGAAATTCCATGCTCTTAACTCTGACTGTCCATGGCAGAGCCTGTCGCAGGCTTGGGGCAAAGAGCCGGTTGGCCCCGAAGCGAGGCAGGTGGACTGTACAGTGGACTGTAGACCAACAAAAGGAGCGATCTGTCATGCAAACGTGTGATATTGACCACCTTGTTGAAGGGGGCGGGGCCGGAGGAACGTTGGAAATGAGGGGAGACTATGACTAAACATGAAGGGAGGTGTGCGTGAGCCCTGAACTGTGGTTGGCAGAGTGTTCCCCGTGGGGCTGAGGGTTGATGGTTTTACAACCATCCACGCACACTGGGATTTTCACAAGTGAGGCAATGGATGGCGGATGGCGGGAGCCAGGATCTTCCCTGTGGGCGTGGGAAGTTCCCATAAGCTAAAATGAACCATGTGGTACTCGATGAAAGTCTGAGGCCTCTCTGTGAACTCGATTTAGCTTTAGACATAGACGATATTGCTAGACAGAAATAATTTCAGATACGTGTGTGTACACGGGTTAAGGCACCCACACATCTCTCCCTCCCACATCTGCCTGCTGAGAGGACCCGAGAGGTCACTCCGGCAGCGACAAGCACAAAGGCCCGACGGCCGGGCAGCAAGGGGGCTCGGAGGCAGACAGAGAGGTCGGGGTGGAGCGGGTGTTCTACCCTGAGGGCTGCTGTGAGCCCCCTCCCTCGGACTCAGGCCAGCTCAGGGGCCAGGAAATGCTGTAACTAATGACAAACCGGAGCTGTCAGAGGAGAAAGGCTCGGCATAAAGAATGCGGCGATGAGGTCATCCTGAGAAGAGAAACTGGGACAAGGTGTAGTCAATGTCAAGTGGGAACTCTAACAATGAGGAGAGCAGGACAGTGACACCCAGACGGATCGTGGAGGTTTCAGAGATGCGCCAGACTGCAGCACGAGGGTGTTCCCCAACTCTGAGAGGGCAGGGGGAGGTGGCATCATCACCCAGAGGGCATCGGAGAGTGGAGACAGGTCTGGCTGGCCCCTGGGTGGAAGAGAGTGATGGGCAGGACCGGGCAGAAGCACTCCTTGAGGACCAGCTCCATCCCTTTGGAGGAGACCAGTCAACAGCCTGCATCCTCTCCAGCTTCCCAGGCAGGTGCAGAGTGGACCTGTTACAACAGAGGCTGTCTGGCCTGCAAAGCCCCAAGTTGCCCTCTGGCCCTTTACAGAAAAGTTTGCCGGCCCCTGGTCCAGCAATGCAGGTAGTGCAAAAGCGACCCTAGCTCATACCTCAGTGGATGTGTAAGGCTGGGATGGACACTTTATTTACAGAAACAGGTGGCAGCTGGACGTGGCCTGTGGGCTGTGGTTTGCTGACCCTGACCTAGAACACAGACTCCAGTGCACAGAAGTGCTTGGAGATTTCCAGCTGTCCGCAGCCAACCATTGTGGTTCTCTGGTATGGAGCCATTCACACGGCCAGGGCTCCATAAATGCTTGGCAAACAGGCACTGGCTGGCTTTCTGGGGTCTCATCATTTCACATGGGACCAACAACAACATTCCAAAGCGAGAGACAGAAGCCTTGGAGCAGATGAGACGTCTCTAAAGACTGACCCTCCCTCCTCGAGGAGGACTCCCACCCATCTTGCAGGCGCAGCTCCAGTGTGCATCGCCCTTGGCTGGAGCGCCCCCTTGGGTGGAGGTGTTGGATTTCCTGTCTCTCCTCCCCCCTTATCCACGGCACCTCTGTTCCCCTGAGGAACACCCTGCCCATGCCCCATGGCATCTTGGTGGCACTCAGCACCAGAGTCGGACGAATCAGACTGTTTTCATGGAGTCACAACCTTGACACGAGCTCTGGACGTGCTCAGGACAGATCCACCTGCCACTCCAGGCGCCCTGAGGATGGTCTATTGCTTCTGGCTGCCCTGGATCCTCAGATTTCTGAAACTGGTAATTGAGTGATTTTTGTCTGTTTGCTAGTTTGTTTCAAGCTTCTAATAAATCCCCTTTATAAAGCTCCATCAAGTGGAGCCCATGTGGTTTCAGTTGCTGGCAGCTGGAGACATCTGATACAGTCTCCTGACCAGTGTTATCGGTTCCAGAGAAAGCCCTTTGCAGCCCACGGCCCCAGAGCCACCTTTCTGTCAATTCAGGGCAGATCATGTCACTTCTCTGCTGGGAAAAGGACAGAAGAAAACCTAAAACCTTCAGCAAGGCCTTCAAGGCCCTCTATGGTTCGTCCCCAAGTTTCTCTCTTGGTCTTGTCTCCTAGGGCGTACATGTTGTATGTACTTGACGTTCCCCCAAATGTGCCACGTGACTTCCTTCCTCTGGGGAGACAGCCAGCCCTTGTTTGGGTGGACATGATGGACATCAACCCTCAGCTGCAGAGACCAGAGAAGCGGTCTGTGACGGGGACAGGAAGGAGACTGGTGCTGTGCTGATGGGGCTCTGCCTGGGGCGCAGGACACAGGCTGGGCCCGCACCCCTCATCTCCGCATCCTCACACTCTCCCTCCTCCCCCCGCTCCTCCCCGCTCCCAACGCCAGCAGGACTCACATGTAAGCCTTGTAGTTGGATCCAATTTTCTGGATGCGGATGTCGTACTTGGAGTCGATGAAGGCCTCGGTGGTGGCGTAGGTCTTGGCCATCGCCACCATGCTGGTGATGTCCTGGTAGTCATGCTGGTTTTCTACTTTGATCTGGGTAAGAGCAGGAGAAGGCGTGTGCCACCCACCTGGCGTCCACCGAGCACCCACCCAGTGCCAGGGTCCAGTGCTTCATACACATGACTTGGAGAAGGTCCCCCACCAACAGGGGACACGAACCTAGGAAACAGGTCATTCCACTGCCTACCTGTGGAAGAGGGCGGGACCACCACTTGGGTGGTCAAGGGAATCCTTATAAGAGAGGTGGGGGCTGAACAGGGTTTGGAAGAAAAGTTGGATTTTCAGATGGACTGTGTAGCAGGGGGACTCTCCGGAGAGGACTGAGAAAAGGCAAAGCAGAGGCTGACGGAGCCGTGTGAGGTGGGGGCACAGGCAATAGGTTCTGACGGGCCAGCGGGGCAGGACGGTGGGGGGCAGCTGAGGGGGGTCATCAGAGAACAAACTATGTAGCAGAGAATGGTCCTCAGTAGCTTAGTAAGGGGCTACCTGAAGGCTCTGCAGAGCCCCCAAAAGAAGGAGAGGGGTTTAAACTAGAAGGAAGCCTAATTTGTGTTTCAGACAAAAGCACAAAACTGTTGTACAGAAGGTTGAACAGAAGGGTGTTCAATGGGACAGAGACCAGTTAGAAAGAAGGGAGTGTGTGAGTGTGTGTGTGAGTGTGTGTGTGTGTGTGTGTGTATGTTTGTAGGGGTGTATGTGTGTGGATTGGTGGGAGAATAAAATCACTCAATTATCAGTTTTGGAAAGATGAGGCTCCGGGGCAACTCCAGATGCACAGTTTGTGGTGTATTAGCATGTGTGTGACCTGTGTGATGTGTTGCATGGGTAGTGTGTCGAGTGTGATGCTTGTGCACCCAGGCAGTGCGTGTGTGTCTGTGAGTGCACACGCACTGGGCCAGGCTAGCTCTGCCAGGCCAAAGGCCTGGAGAAACTCATGTTGTTTACTGGCCCACGGCCAGGAACACCGAGGGTGCCTGCGGTCAGGGAGAGGTCCCTGGAGAGACTCCAAGGCCAAGTGCAGGGGATGAGGCCAAGGCTCTGATGGCAATTTAAGGCAGAACAGAGGCTGACTCCCAGTGGCTGTAGACAGCTGGGGGGGCTGTCCCCTACCCCGTCAAGCCCACCTGGACCACAGAAGGGGTCTGAGGCTGGGCCAGAGGTGGGTCAGAGCCCAGACCCCCTGGAGGGGCCGGGTGGGTGCTGGCAGCTTGTGCGGGAGGCGGTCCTGTCCCCACAGCCTTTCCTTCCAGCCTTTCCTGCCGCCCTCTGAGGCTCAGCGTCACCCTAACAACTCTACTTCTCCGTGGTGCTGCCCGCTCATGGGGACCCTGCCTTTAGCACTCACAAAGCTTCCTCGCAACTCTCCTGTGGGACCCAAAACAGGGCTGCGAGGCAGGCAGGGTGGGCATTAAAACGGCCATTTAACAGGGAACCTGGGATTCTGGCCTTGTCCAAGGCCACAGAGCAGCGAAGCACAGAGCTGGGAATTAAGTGACGGGCTCCCAAGGCGCAGCTGTCATCTGAAGCATCTCGGCAGGTCTGCGAGGCTGCTCTTCCCGCAGCAGACCACAGACGGTGATGGGGAGACAGGCTCGGCAGAGCGCTCTTCTCGGCTCTCCGAGAGGCCCTGCCTCTCAGCGATGTCTCTGAGTCCCACTTTGCGGGGAACATAAGGGTGACCAGGCAAGAGTTCCCCATTTCCCATTCCTTTTCAAGCTCATCAGCTTTTCTTTTTCCCGGTGGCGGTGACATTGTGCCTCCTCCCACTCACGGCTGAACCTCCCCTTTGTCCTAGGATTTCTCCGGCTGAGAGCTCGCTGTCTTCTCCTCCTTCAGAAATGGAACCCCCTAAGTTGTATCTGAGCATCTGGTCTCTCGGTTAAAGATCACTTTGTCCCAGCCTCCCCGACGGGTAGATACAGCCAAGGCTCTGAGTCTGGTCAATGAAAACGTGGACACAATGTGAGCAAACTCTGGGTGGTGCCTCGAAGACAAAGAGGGTCTTCCCTTTCCCTTCCCCTTCTTCTGCCTGACTGGGGTGCAGACCTGGTGGTGGGGGCTGGAGATGCCCTCCTGGACCGCAGGATGGAAGCCGCACGTTCAGGATGACTGAGTAATAAGACGGCAGGAACCTAGATTCCTAGCGTCACGGAGTCTCCAATCAGCCCTTCGACTGTATGCTCAGAATCTCATATCAAAGACAAGTACGCCTTAATCGGCTGTAAGCTATTGTTACTTTGATCTTTGGTAAAGCAGCCAAACTATATTCCCACCGTGTATTTTTAGTCCCTGTTCTCAGCTGATTCTTTAACCTTTGGATCAACATGGGCATATGTCCTCCATTCTCCTCAAATTGTTCCTGCTTTTCTAATACCTCAGTTCCTCACTGATTTCTCTGTCTCTTCACCCTCATTTCCCACCCACCCCTAAACCCATTTCTTCAGATTTCACTCTCCACTCAAACCGATTTGGCAAATGGCACCTTTGACCTCCTCATTGGCGAATCCCATAGACCCCTTGTACCCTCCTCCTGCTCCGGTGCTCGGTGGCCTCAGAGATTGGTGATGTGCCTGAGGCTCGATTTTCTTCTGGCTTTTCTTCTGTTTGTTCCTGGCTACTTCACAGTCTGTATCGCCTCCACCTCCTCAGACAACCCCGTAGATAATCACAGTATTTTATCCTCACCCACCATTTGGGGCCAGGAGAGAGAGTTAGAGTTAATAAAATGAAAGGATGTTGGGGGTGGGGGGAGAACTCGCGGTGACGACTTGTCTAATTCAGCGTTGTCACTGGTAGCTCGGAAAGGACCGGAACCTCTGCACCTGCGTTTCCCAGACAGCACAGCGCCTGCGGCAGGCTGCCTCAGAGGTGTCTAGTCATCCATACCATCCATTCTCTTCTTCTGTAGTCTAGACACATGCTGCTCTGGGGGCGCATGACCGCCCAGAATGAGCCTTACACTCCTCCATCTCCCGGGCACCTGTGTGTGGCCATGGACCACATTTTGGCCAATAGGATGTGAACACCAGTGGGGGGCTGAACTCCTGGGTCTTCACTTTCTCCTTTCCTCTGCCTGCTGCCTGGAGTGTGGACCATCTCTGACCTTGTCAAAGGCAGAAGAGCATCGTTCCAGGAATGAATCAACAATAGGGTCAAAGGAGCCTGGGTTCTTGAAACCAAGGAGCGTGCACACCAGCTCTGGGCAGCTTTGGCCCAGACCATTATGTGAGAGAGAAAGTCCTGCTTTGTTCAAGCCACCTTAGGTCTTTGTTACAGCTGCTGAACTTTGTCCCAGTTATTAGAGGAGCTCTAAGTAAATATTTGCTGACGTGCCATGCATGCGCTCATTTATCCACAGCACAGACAAAAGAGAGCGAAGGGAGAAAGCATAAATGTCGGGGTCGGTTTAATTAATTAGTCGATTAAGCAGTGGCCAGTCCATCGTCCCTCCTCTTGTCACTTGGTGGTTTGGGGTGGGGATGCTCAGCCTGTCCTTTCCAGGAGTGAGGATAGAATGCAGGATTCTCAGGCGTGGGCTTTTTCAGAGCCCCAGGAGAGGCCCTGGCCCAATGTCCCCAGCAATTTTATGTTCTTTTCCTTACAGAGGGCCTCCAAATTGTGTGATGTCGGGCCTCCCAAAACCGATTGCACGCTTGCCCTCACCCACGTCTGCCTCCCATTAGACTGTGAGCGTCTCCTTCTCAGTGGTGCATTCAGGATGCTCTGAACACGTTTGCTGGACTGAGTTTAAGGAGGTCGGCTACAGATCCGCTCATAACTTGGGGAGGGGCAGGGGAATGAAAGGAAAAACAAGGGAGCTTGGGAAAAGGCAGAGAAAATGTATCACAGGAAGACTTAGGTCTCTGAAAATGCTCAGAGTGAATTCCATCACGCCCCCTTGAGAGTGTGAGGAGGGCAGGGACTCCGCAGAAGGGGACAGGGCGCCTGAAGCCAGGTGGGTGGGTGCTGGAGGGGACCCTGGCATGGTCCTGGAGCACAAAGACTGGGTGTGGCGAGGGAAAGGGTTCTGGGCACGGAAGCCACGGGGGTGGGGACACGGCTGCCGGCCTGGGGAGGCGCCTAGGCATCCCCTTTGATCACTAGCTGGAACCCCCTCCGAGTGGGCCCAGACACAAGCTGACAACGGAAAGCCCTAAACAAACTGTGAGTCAAGATTATGCATTTGTGTCCCTGTGTTGGGACCCCTGTGAAGTCCCCATGAAGTCCCTGACACCGAAGACTCACCCACACCCCTGCCTCCAGCCTCCTCTCCTCTCCTCCCCCCTACCTACCTTCTCTCCCTCCCTGCTCCTCCCCCTCCCCTCTCCCTCTCCACTGCCTTCTCTCATCCCTTTCCTCCTCATTTCAATGTCATCCATCTCCGTTTTGTCCCTTCTTCGTTTTTCCTTTGTCACTCTTTCTTCTCCTTTCTCCTTCACCTCCTTCTCCCCTCCGTCTGCCACTTTTTCTGGGCTCCCTCGAAGGGCTGCCTTTCTCCTTCCTTCCGCTTTCTACTTCTTCGTCCTTGTCCCTCTGTCTGTTCTTCCTGCTTCCCCTCATTGAATCCCCGGTCGGTTTCTGCCGCATTTCTCCTCTCCTGCTTTTTGAGTTGCGTTGCCTCCCTTGTGTGTGTGCGCATGGGCAAGTGCGCTCCAGCCCGAGGGTGAGCGAGGAGGGTGAGTGGAAGCAGAGAGGGACAGTCGCCGGAGAGAGGAGTCAGGATGTAGCTCTGAGACTCCATAGGATTCATTCAGAGGACTCTGCAGCATTCAGAACGTTTCAAATTCCAGCCTGGGATGGGAAAGCCGTCTTCTATATCCTCAACAGATTGTCCACTACTGCCTGAACCCCTCCAATAGCGGGGTGCTCACTACTAGGCCAGGCAGCTCATTCCACTTTAGAGAACTCATTCTACTGCAGATCACACCAAGAAGGAATGAATGGTCCCAGTTATTGATCGTGCAGGGCAAGTCCCCACCCTTTGCCTTGTCCCCACTTTTCAAGTAGATGAAGAACAGGCACATCCACTTAGA